TATGTGCATTAGATAAAGGTAACCGAGAAAGACCAACACTATCTAATGGTGATTACAAGTCAGTTTTTTGCCAGTTTTTGTTAATATTTTCATCATTTTTTCATTCACACTACGTGCGAACCAAGTCACGAAAATACTTCATGACGATATTTAGAAAACATTATGAATAGCAAGGTACTGTTGCTTGAAGAGGTGTTAGTCGGAAATAGGTGTCGTTGTTTGACCACTACCTAATGGTTTATTTATTTTACTAGGGTAATATGATAGTGTCTAAATTTGGTGACTTGATCATCAAAACTGTGTTCGTCTTTCTATGCAACTTCATGTTAGCCTAATTCATAAACCCAGATACGTCTAGCAATAACGATTATGATGGATTTAGTGAGAAATGTTGTAAGTGATTCAAATGATTGTTAGACTTAAATGGCATAGACAATGTAATAAAATTCACGTGTAGGCCAGTTTAATATGCAGGTTGGTGAGGTATATAACAATTTGAACATAATAAACTTGAGCAAAAATGCATTTTAAAGTGGACACGACTTGTTGAAATACATTTAGGAATACGATGGGTTATGATACGGAAGTTTCACAAGAATTTACTGTTGTTCGCTTGGTGGTATTTATAAATGTGTCGGAGGTGATAAGAACTAAGTGTCAAATAATTTTTGAATCTAATATGCTTCGTCTGTAAACATCACACTTTTCATGATAGTATATTGAAAGCATAAAGCTACCATATATTTCTTACACCAAAAACGTTTGAGGAGTGGTTCATATTAAATATATACGGTTAGTATAATTGAAAATACATGCATGTTAAGAAGTGACAAAAATCGCTATAAAATATACGCTAAAATAGACAAACTCGTCCGGATTACTTTGGGAATTTAGATTGTTCAGTAGATTCGACATATATGAGGCCATTTGTGACGAGTAGTAATAATCTAAAAGAAACCAGCCTGAACAAGCTATATTCCTGTTGAAGATGGCACAAGTTTTTAGTGTTTGACATCGCTTTCACGAGTAACACTTTCAAATATAATTCGTGACCATCAAGAGAAATCAAAAGACAGTGTCGAGAAGATCGGAAGCGTGTATTTGCCGATAACCAATATATAGGAATTCTCTGATCTAATCTGGCTAGCGATTGCAGTAGCACTTGAGCGCGACGTTGCCACTCGTGATCTGGTGCGGATGCCTGACCGAGTGCCGTCAGCCAGATAAGTCCACTAAATCATATGGTCAGCATCCAATGTCGAACACTTACAGAGCTATTTATTTTGGGAACTTATTTGCCGCTACAGACCACTCCCCCTTAGTGGGGGAGTGATTCTGGCCAGCCGGAAGTTTAAACCCAACGAGTTCGTCGTTGGTAAACACTCTTCTGATAGCTTGCTAGATTTTGCGGCGTCTGGTCGTCTTTCCTTTCTATATGGGACCAAGGTACAACTTAGTTAAAAAAGAAAAAGTACAATGAAAATTTCGGCTCCTTGTAAACTTCATCGTTCTTTTCCAGCCGTCCTAGAAAAGTAAAAAGAAAATGTAAGTGCATATCGAAATACACTCGTATGTGCGTAAAAACACAATATCGTCAAAAAAAGGAAAATAAACACATGCATACGTTATAGCGTTAAAAAAAGACTTTTATGTTTGTTTTTTAAATAAAAATATAAATATATAAGCACATTAAAATTGTGTTTTTTTAAATATTATAAATCGTAAAAAGAAAGATCGAGATAATATAAAATTTCGAGTAGTGCCTTACGTGCAGTAGTCGATTAAATGTTCCGGAAATCTTTCTCTTCTTCCAGAACGCGTCGTTTTAAGTTTATTTTCAGATACGTTCGGAGTATCATCGCATGTGTTGGTTGTCGGTTGAGGAATTACGAGTGTAGGAGTCGTGTCCTGAGATTGAACCGAAGGGAAATCGACGTAGATAGGATTTCCTTCTAAATACGCTGCTTTGAGGCGATCGATGCTGATGCTATCATTGGTTCCGTTTTTATCGATTATATAGTACTTTGGTTCGCGTTGAACAACTTTGGAAGGTCTTTCGTATGCTGATTCGAAAGGTCGTCAATGCGAGTCCAAGTGTCCTTCCATAAACGAGTTGAGTCACATGGTATCCAATGTCAGATTTCACTGCATTGCGAATACCTAGTAAGACGGGTGGAAGAGCGTCAGTCCACTGTGAAACGTTTACAGCTGATGGTGAAGCTTTGAGTTGTCGGTGAAAACGTTCTACCAACCCGTTTGTTTGTGGGTGGTAGGCGTTCGTTCGGAAGCGAGTGATTCCTAAAAGTATGGTCAAACGACAAGTTCAGATTCAAACTGACGTCCGCGGTCTGTAGTGATGGTTGAAGGGCAACCGAAGTTTGCTACTCATCGTTCGACGAAGGCGCCGGCCACCGTTTTAGCAGTGATGTCCTTGATAGGTACATCTTTTGGCCATCGAGTGAAACGGTCTACGCAGGTTAAGAGGTAAGAGTATCCATTTGAATCTGGTAAACGTCCTACCAAATCCAGATGAACATGGTCGAAACGAGCGTCAGGAGTTTTAAATGAGCCTAAGGGACATTTATTGTGTCTGATGACCTTAGATTTTTGGCAGCTTACACAGGAGCGTGACCACTCCCTCACGTCTTTATTCATACCAGGCCAGCAAAACCGTTCTGCTATGAGCTTGATGGTTGCACGAACACCTGGATGAGAAAGTTTGTGCAATGTTGAAGACATTGCGTCGATAATGTTTCGGGACAATTGGGTGATCCCTACCTGTAGATGTGTCAGAAAGTAAGGTTTCCTTACCTGTTCCCATCTGTTTGATGCGTAGTTTAAAGGTTGTGGACGATAACTCGTGCTGAAGATCACTGTCTTCTTTTTGAAGCTGGGCGAGTTTAAGAAGGTCGATTCCTTGGAAACTGTTCAAGTAATTTATTCGAGACAAGGCGTCTGCAACTACATTGTTTGCTCTAGGAATATGTTGGATATCTGAAGTAAAGTACAAAATGTAGTCCAGTTGTCGAGACTCACAGGGAGAGTACTTGTCAGAAGGAGAGCTTAACGAGAAAGTGAGCGGTTTATGGTCCGTGAAAAGAGTGAATTCACGGCCTTTGATATAGTGTTGAAAATGCCGTACAGCACAATACATTGGTATATTTCGCATTTCCACGAAGTTGGTCGGTAAAAGGCTTCATAAGTAATGGGCATTTCGGTATGGAACGTCTATAGAAACTTACCAGGTCGTTAAACGTGCGTAATTGCTTGACGGTGGTCGGTTCTGGGTAATCCAGAATGGCCACCACATTGGTTCTAAGGGGTCGAATTCCTTGAGCATCGATAGTTTGTCCTAAAAGGTCTAATGAGTCAGTCACCGGTTGGACACCAATCGTTGCTGTCCTTTTTAGGGACCATATGCAACGGAGATGCATATGGGCTATTTGACGGTCGTATGATACCTAAGTCTATCATGTGGTCGAAATCGTTTTTCGCCAACCTTAGCATTTTGGGAGCTAGTCGGCGTGCTTTGGAGAATACAGGTGGTCTTGTAATCGTGATGTGATGTGTAACGTTGCTGGTTACACACGGTAATGTCGGTTGCGTTTGATGAATGCCAGGATACTTATCGAGTAGTGGTTGATAAAGTGGATCTATCGTATGCCTTATTGTGACTGGGGATAATCTGCAACCAGAGAAGGAAGTTACGCAAACGGATAAATTAGTGTTTCCATTTACTAGCCTTCGTTTGCGAGTATCGATGATTAGATTGTGGTTTTATAGGTGTTGTAGAATGTCCATACCAATGATTGGCATAGAAACACCGGCAACAAATAAGATCCAGTGAATGGGTTTGCGTAAACTCATTTTAATGTAAACGTACTTTTTGCCATACGTAGCGATAGGTTTTCCGTTTGCCGCCTGTAAGTTTAAAGCCGATTCGTGAAGCCGATCGTTGGGATTCGCTGGGAGAACGCTAACTTCTGAGCCAGTGTAGACGAGGTAGCGAACTCTCGTTGTCACATCTGTGACGTATAACAGACAGCTATGCTCGCCTGCTACGGTTGCCGTTAACGCGTGCCGGCTTGGAAGTTTCCCGAGTTGTTTTTCGAGTCAGTCGGTTTTGAGATGGGAAAATTGCAGGGTTTTCTGCGATTTGTGGAAAACTTTCCATACTGGTTGTGATACCAGCACCATTCGGGGTCATCTGTCTCTCGTGGTTTAGAGACAGATCGCTTACGTGAAATGCTTCTACGTGGGGTGCGCGATCTCTTACGGTCGGTACGAAGATTACGATAACGCGTGAGTGTATGACATAACTCGGTTATGCCATTCTGAGCCGTTTGAGGCTTTTCTTTGACTGAAAATACCTCGGCAGTAGATTTCGTAATTTCTAAGATACAATCGGCAGATGCAGCCAGTTCGTCTAAGGCGTTGTTCTGAAACGAGACCAGAACCGCTTGCACCTGTTGGGGAAGTTTAGACAAGAAAGGTTGTTTGAATAGGCTTTCGTCGAACGTTCTTGGGCCTATAACCTCTCTCATCCTTTGCAACATATCCGTCGCAGAACCGTGTTGCAGGTCTATGTTATTAAAGAGTTGATCTAACCTTTGTCGATCGGTTAGGTCTCCTCGTTTAAGAATCGAACGTTTCGGGGATTTATTTACCGCTACAACACTAATGAAATCAGCATCGATGTTGAAGAATGACAGAACTACTTATTCTGGAGACTTATTTACAACCGCAAACTAATCATTTATGAGGATATTCAGAAGATACTTGGAATCCGCGACTGATGAAACTGAGAACAGGACTCTGTTTTTCTCATCTAGTGCTCAGTTATTGGAACTCATTATCCAAATAAACGATACCAGCATATTGTCGGACTCTTTTTAAGAGAAACTGGATCTTTACCACAACGAACTTGAAGGATTTAAGGCGGACGATCTCCGTCTTATCACCTCAACTAAGACTGGGTGGAAATCCTGTGACCTCTCAAGGCGCTGGATTCAAGTTTAAGGTCACAGGCATGTCATCGTTTTGGCCTTGGTCTTCCTGTTATTTCCCTCCCTTAGGGGTTACGATGTTAGCTAGTTCCGACGGAACAATGCGAGTTTATAATAGCCAGACTGGTTTCCTTGATAAAGAGACAAATTTAGTCACTAGCTCGGTTGATAATTGTATGTGTGGATATGAATTATGCTTATTTTTAGGTTCACGTATATCCCTTGGTTATTTTCCTTCAAATGAACGTTTAGTAATTACGAGAGCAACTGAAATTAACGCGAGGACACACTCAAATGGATCTGTCCTGCTTCATGGCTTTCTTGATAAACGCATTCAAAATAAAACTGAAAAGATCAGTCTTGAATTTTACTCAAATCAAGGCTCTGTTATAGAACTATTTCTTTCCACTGTTGAAAGTTTATACACTGATCATGGAATTTTGGTTATAAACACTCATAACTGTCCTAATCCTAAGGTACTTCAGTTTAGTGACTATATGTTTTAGTGGAAAACGTTCACCATTTATGGTAGTTATGAAATTTTGTATAGTTTATTCGATAAGCTACAGCACAGTAATGCGAAAAAAAGCGTGCTTCTGACTACCCCACTGTTGAAGTCAATTCTGCATCGATTAACACGAGCTGTAATGGATAGTGACAGTATTTTGATTTTTACGGCTATGCGAGAACCGTTCACTATGCAAAGTGAAGCCCATAGACGCCTTACATTTACTCACTGGCCTCATATGGACTATCAGTAAGTTGGGTATTTTTTTAAAAGTGATGTTATAACTAAAAATCTCGATCTTGGTATTGTAGTTGTGAATGCAGTAATCAAACCATATCAACACCTACATTCTCTTGTCTTGGTCCGTCTTAATTTGCTGTGTATTGTGTCTTGACCATTCTAAAAATACGTAAATGCAACCTGAACTGAAATTTGAGTACAAAGAAAGCTTTGTCGAGTATGAAGTATGTACCGTAAAACAGTGTAACTGACTTACCAAGTACCATTTCGTGTAGTCGGTCCTAATGTTAAGAGGTAGTAATGCCACGTTAATACATTAACAAAAGTATACAGGTCATTCAAACCTGCCTCCTGTTGTTGAATAGCTGATTTCCTTAATCACTGGGCCTCTACAATGTATTATCAGAAGTCGAATACCAGGGTTATGGTTCCGATTTTCTGTTATCCTGAAGTCTGTACAAAACCGCTGCTTAAACTTGACGTTAAGCCTGTCGTGGTGGTTCAAAATAACTCCCTGTAGGTATTTTCTTATCAGCTCATGTAGAATAAGTTTACTAGTAGTATTTGTTTCAAAGGGTTTAGGATGATTCTACTTAAGTGATCGTATATTAACTTAAGAGAACTTCACTTCGGTTTTGCAGAATGTTAGTAAGAGAATGGTTTTTGTAACTAAACATCCATTTATTAATAGTGCATTAAAAGTACAATAGTAACTTCAATTGTGTTGGACTTTATTTTCAGATGGGCAACGCCTTCCACTTTGTCTGAAGCTGGATTTTACTTCCCATTTAAGTTCCCACTTGACATTGTATTTTGTCTTGAATGTTTAGTTAGATTGTCATCTTGGGAACCAACTGATGAGCCATGGAGTGAACATATCAGACACTCACCTCAATGCAGCTTTGTGTCATCTCCAAATTCGAAAAGCATACCTAGTACATGTAAGTATTTAATTTTGAATAGCGGGGTTTAGTCAATACTCGGGTTTTTTTTTCATCATTATATAAATATACTATTACATACAGTCTGAACATAAACGTTGGAATCTTTAGGGAATTAGTTTATTGAATTGGTGAAGGCAGTTCAGTGAGCAAGTGCAGGTTAGTGTCACTTTTTGCATAGGTATCTGTAATACTATCTGGTTGAACAAATTTTAATGTGGCCCCAAGTGCAAACCAATGAAACGAATGTATCAGTTCTAATAAGCTAACAGTCTATTAGACTTCCACATGTATTATCCACGCTTCACCTATATCTTCAAGTGTTGTTTTTATTTTCTCAATCCACTTTCCTGTTCGTTTTAATATCGTCGTTTTTGCTGGCTCTCTTTCTATGGTATTTTTATGTATGAAAAACCAAACCAATACTCTTTGGGACGTTCTAGAACCTACTATTTGCGAGATGAGGAGTCAGCCCTCATAGGTGTTTTAAACCTAGTAGTTCTAATCTTATGTTCAGAAACAGGCTTCAATATCCTTTAATTGTCTGAGCGCAGGGAATAGCTACTCTCGTTGAGAAATTATCATACTCCTGTGCTTTCACAGCTTCCAAGGATATCCTACTCTCCTATCGCGAAAATCAAAGGATGAACCAAAAGTTCTGGTGTTTAAACAGTGTCTTTGTTTGCGAAAGATTCATATGAAAAGCCAAACTAATAGTAATCATAAGTCCTACTATCTTGAGGGAAATAGTAGAATATAAACTTAAAGCAAGTTCTGTCATTTTTTCCTAATTTTGTTGACTGCATGTAGACTGATAAATAGCTGCATGTATGCACTCCATCTGGCGGTTACTTGTACGGGAATTCAGTCTCGTCATTGCTCATGTTTGCTCTCTCTAACGTGAGGATATTTGACAATTTTCTGGTAAATCATCACTTTTCGAAAGATTAACTTTTTCATCAGCAACATAGTATACGGTCTGGCAGCATATCTACATGTAATAGAACGTTACTGATTACATGGTACTGTTATGTGAACCATAACAACTTTTCACATGTTCTAGGCAAAATGTACAGACTATCACCAGTTCGAATAATTGTTTTATCACGTATATTCTATTGTTACCGTTGTTTATTCCTGCAAATTGTATTGCATATGTTACCTAAGTAAGTTGGGTTTGTTTTTCAGTTTCATGGTCAACAGAAACAGCACAAACTCATTCAATATCTGATGATCCTGTAAGTTTAAGTTTTCAATGAATTTCATTAGTCCTTACTTGTTTTTTAACCATCATTATCTTGAAATTTTTGTGGAGATTCCCTTACTATTTCAAGACGAATATTACGGAGCTTTTAATAGTATTTCACATGCAGATATTAGAAAAGCTATGAAAGCATCGAAAATAACATGAGCATAGGAGCTTTGAAACATTTCACCTATTGGCTATAAGTAGTGGTATGGTGTGCGCTACTTATATACACATAAGTAGTATATAACGATTGTCAGGAATAGAATGTATTGCAGCAAAAGATCGAGAAAGAAAGAACGGTAACGGAAAGCAATTGGTATGAAAATGCAGGAACAATGAAATCTGAGACAATCGATTGATGTTTTGCAAATTAAGTATTTACTGTATTGTTCTTAGATTTTAATGAGATACTCTATAATTTCGTGTTCAAATACATTCGATTGTCCCCACTCGTGTTCTTGTTCACTACAGTAGTTGTCAACCAGTTGACCAAATAATAATTTTGTCTACATATTAGACAGTTTTAGCTTTAATCTTTTTGTTTATAGGATTGTTTATTTTTACTTTTAAATTAGTTACTATGTCTGTTGTAAGAAACTTCCTGGTGTTCCATTCAATGCATCATATATTATTTTAAAATATAATTACTGTTTTCAAAAATAGTTATTCCATCGATGTTAACTGTAAATTGTGAATTATTTGTCGGTTTTATGACTGGAGATCACTTTGTATTTTACTTATTGTTTTAATGTACATAAATTCTAGTACAATTGGGCAACGAAAATGCATATATCATAGATGAAACGATGAAATTGTGCAAAAATAAAGGATAGGAAAGTGACACAATCACTAAAATAATGAATAGAAATAGTATTTACTAAGAGATACAGTCTATTTTAAAAACACTAAAATGATATTACTGTTTTGATGTATTATTGAAGACTCCAACACGATCACCATTGGCTTCTATTTTGATTCGTATCTGATAACGTCTCAAGTCACTGAGTTCCATTATCTATGTAGCCTTATCCAACGAGTCTTGATGAACCAGTAGAAACCAGTCCTATGGAGCTTCGTTTTGCACTGCGGTGCAATCTCGTAAACTAACTACCTTTGCATTTTTCACCCACTGTCAGCGTTGGGAATTGAATCGCAGTGCGGAAGTTTTTGGGATGATCTTTGTAAAATATCCCTACACTATCGAAGCCAGCTTTTCAAAATGGTGACTGGTTGAATTATTGTTACTGCCTCCATATATACACATCACCAAACCTCAGTATTACTAGTGCAGGGTTTTCTTGGTTGAACACAAAGTCGCCACACATTTTTACCATGGATAGGCCAGGTTTCACAAATATATAGTGGAAATGCTTTCACGAATGTGTTGTGCAGCAGATCTTTTACAGCTAAACTAACATCAGAGCAACACCAAAGATAGTCCAAAATGACATATGCCGCTAATATAACTTTGAACGGTTTGTAATATGGTGATGATATAACAACATCGTAGTTATGACTATTTTATTTGAAGTAATTAGAGACAGTTTGAATCTGTTAACTGAGGCTTCGTTCTAGTTAGTACTCGTCAGCAAGGTTACAGCTTGTAATTTTCATGTGCATTTCTTGTTTTTTGTATGGATGAAGTTATTTCTAAGTTTATATAAAGAGAATTTTTCGAATAAATTTTTATTTTTGTCAGTTTTATGTTTTCTTTATTACGTTTTAAATAATTCAGATCATGGTGCTTACAGCTTCTACATCAAAAGATTTTGTCGCAACTTCAACAGTCGATGGTGGAATTACTGTTTGGGATCTGTCGTACTTCAACAGAGTAAGCTATTTCATCTTCTAAACCACCAAGTGCGTTCGCGAAATGGGACAATAAAAAATCACCTCTTATTAAAGTTTGATTGTGTCGGACTTATTACTAAATTAAGTGAACATATAGAGGTTGAATTAATGTCACTGTCGATTTGGGGTGTTCTTTAAACGCTGGTTTGATGTTCTTTCGAATTCATGTCTTGGATTCTATTATTTACAACGTAGCAGTAGTTTATTCGTTGAAACATTCAACTTTTAATTATTATGTTGCATAGATTCGAACTCTACTCCTCCTACTTCAGTTTTAGAGAGTCGGTTAGTATGACTGACTCTAACATGCGAAAGAAGCGACTTAAAATGTTAAGTGGTTGAAGGTAGTCTTCAAGAAACCTATGTTTCTTGCTAGTCATGGCTCTTTAGCGAGGCATACCTGGAGTCTCAATGAAAGTAATTCTCTCTGTGGATTTCACACTCGTGCCACTAAACTTCACAATCTGAGACAACATAGTGCACTCTATGTCTAACCACTTAAAAGTGTCTATAGGACAACATGAACACTAAAGGATTGGACAAATACCAGAAGGGGTTTTGTGGATATTATTGACTCATGATCTCAACTATTAAGATTGGACAAATATCACACTGGTCACTACTTAGTAGTAAATTCAATGTACGTGTAACTTGAAAAACCCATTAAGTATACGAATTTGTTCAATCGGTTACTGAATTTCATCAAACTACTCAAATTAAACCATTGCCAATAATAATACTTAATGGTAAATCAAATGAAATGTTTCGTCAATCATCTATATTTCTATGATAATTTATTATCATGTCTATATTCTTATTATCACTGTTATCTTATGTCATAAATTTTCAATGCCTCTGTTCTGAAATTCTCCCAGCGTTCATTAGAATTCAATCTTGTGGATGTATTGAATGCTTCGATAGTTACTACTACTACCAGTGAAAGTAAGTTAGGTGTCTTGTGTTTTTTTCCACTGAAAATAATCATTCATATTTACAAAATGTAGGAAAAACAAGTGTTCAATGCATTTATATTGTAACGTTTAGTATAAGTTAGGTCTATGTCTAGTTTGATGGCGTGTTAATTGTCGAGGGAGTGTGAAGAGTATTGTGTTCAGGAGGGCTTGGAAGAGATAAGAATAAAGAAAAGTAAAATGATGGCTCAGCACGTAAAATGTATTTATGTTGAATATTGAAAGCTAGCGATAATGTTTAGTTATAACACAAGTGTATGATAATTACAGTCAGATAATCGAAAGTAGGTGATGGTGTGAGATTTTAAATATGTTACAAAATATTAAGCAGAAATGCATGGTGGCTAGCAGTGAAATCCAGGATGCCCGTTTCGTTGGGACTTGTCAGCTGAATGTATCTGCGTCCCAGAGTTGTGTTCACTCCGAGAGTCAAACCTAGTACCATTCACTCTAGTCCCAAACATCAACGAGAATATCCAAAGAAAATATATTTTAGGTCATATTAGTCCTGTTTATTATAACTTACCTTCTATATTAAACACACGTTAGTATCAGACTATATTCATCACATGCTATAAAGAGACAGATCGTAAACTTTTCATATACGCGCCTTAATAGGTTATGCGATTGATAGAAATCATAATGTGTCAAGACAAAATAAATAAAAAAAGATACCGTTAAGCTATTCGGGCTGCCATACAGAAGGCTGTACATGCTTGTGGAGGTAACCTGCCATTGACAGATCAGTTTTAGTGCACCGTCCGTCTGTCAATCCTTGGAGAAACAGTTTTAGCACTAAGGTTGGATTTATGGGCAGGAGATGGTCTGTTCGATGCAGGAGGAGGGTGGTACAACTCCAGGTAGACCTGAAACTAATGACTATAGATTAAGGGAGTTGTCAAGGTACCTATACTCCTTAATACAACATACAAGAAAGAATGTCAACCTTATTTTTGGATACCAACTTAACTTAATTTCTTCTCACCCAAATCAACACATTTTCGTGAACTCTATTCATTAACTTTCAGCGTATTTCAGTTGTATTTTGCTATTTAATTCTTGGTAAATTTTCTTCTTAGCAGTTATTTTACTATGGTTTTGTATTTTGTGGGTTCGTAAAACTGTAATTAATAATCACAATTGATATATAACTGAATTAACGTGGATGTAAATTCAGTCTTCTTTGATCTTGTCCAATAATTGTTCATAACAAGATTGGTTATTTAGAGTAACTGGGGTGTTACGAGGGAATCGAACTGTCATATATAGTGTCACAGTTGTCGTTCGAGTTATTACTGCATATCTTCCATCTCTAACTAATTAATTAACCGTTGAGTAGTGACCAATCAATTGCAAATTTAAATCTGTTGTAAAGATTTCATTGATCAGTGGATGTTGTACATTGATACGATATGTCCCATTGATGGATATTCACAAAATCCACTTATTGACTAAAATCCTGAATGGAATAATGCCGAAAGACTGTACAAGTAACATATAAAATAAGATTTTTTCTCCAGGGAAATAACGTGCTTAAATACAAAGTATTGTTTATCAAAGTAAACATCACTGGATATTATTTAGCAAATAAGCAACCAGAGTGTTAGGATGTGCAGAAAAATATACCAATAGTTATCATGTTAAGTCTAATGTTGTCCTTGGACGCTAAATGTACATTCCCTATTGGTCGATATTTACTTCACTTGTTTAATATTGTGTAAATGTTGTTTTCTATTTTTATGGTACGATGTGGTATGTTTGGTTAGTATATAAATAGAGTATGTCTGAAATACAATGATTCATATCTCAGAGGCTGTGACTTTCGTTCTGGACTCAACTGGCTGGGTTAGATAGCGAAGCAGGGCCAATCATGACACTAGGTCGTTCGTACGTGTTTACGTGTCACTGTAACCGATCGATATAAACGCTGCTTATCAATAACCTGCAGTCACCCGTTACAACACAGAGGGTATACGTTCTACAGGGCACTCACGTACCTATAAAGTTTACTGTTAGGTTTTATTGTTGTTTTTTTATCTTCGTAAATAAAGTGATGTTTATGAATAAATAAAAATATGTATAGAAGAAATAAACAGTATCTGTTTTGTAGCTGATTATCATATTGTTTCTTTCATGTAAATACAATTTCTTCTTTCTATACCTAAACTAGTGATTACTAAATCTCAACTACAAGTACATAGTGGATGTCTACTAGTTTCTAATTCTTCTACTATGAAATTTATCAATCTTCCACAACTTCCTAAAATACATCATTTAATTCTTGGTTGTTGTTTACCATATTCAGTATATAATAAATTACACTCTTGTATGCATAACATGTCAACAACTAATACATTTGAGGATGTTAAAAATAAAAATTTAAAAAAATACCAACTATGCCTTATGATTATTGAATTAACGCCATTAAACAGTGAACAAGTTATGTGGATAGCTGATTCTACTTTCTCTTCAACAACAACACCATTAACACCGTTTTCTCCTAAATCGATATTTCCTAATCAATTCAATATACATTCAATACCGATAGATCTTGTCAAGTTTCTTCCATCAATTGGTTATGATCATAATAATAATGATGACGATACAATAGAATATGAAGACTTAGGAGATATTGATGATAATGATGATGATCAGAACGAGACTGATAATGATGATTATGAAGATGACTTTGATGAGGAAAGTTCTGACAAGTTAAGTAGCGTACATATAAATAATATCATAACTGACTCAGCACCAAAATATAATATTTCAACATCATCAGTTAATTCAAAGGTAGTGAACTTTTCAATAAAATATATTTATTGTTTTCCATGTTTTCTAAAAAAAATTTAAATTTATAGTTGAAATTTCGATTGTTATCTGAAACACTTCCAGTGTTCAGTGAGTATGTTTATGTCCAGCATTTCTGACCATTTTTCTGGCCCCCAAATGCCCTGGTATGGCCGAGAGTGGGGTGGGCGCGCCCTCCCTCTCGAAATGCACTCACACGGTCACGCGTATACAGCCTCTGCCAAGGAAGTCCTACTCACTTCCTTCTCGTGGCGATGGTGTTGTTTACGAAAATGATAGGACGAAAGGCGAGTGTTCGACGCTTTAACCGGATCCCAAACCAATGATGCACATGGGCTCCAGTATCCTGCGGGAACAAATGGCGTATGAACCAATCGTTGGTCACCGGCTACCATGGGACTACATCTCCTCATGATGCTGCATTGCCTTGTGTGTCAGACCTTTAGGTCAAAGGCTCGGGGTGTAGCCACCTAAGAAAACCACCTGCTTCGGTCTGGGCACCCGGGCAGTATCACAGCCCACACACACAAATATGGTGTGGCGCATATATATTTGGTGCCCTCTTGTACCAATATTTATGTGTTGAAATAAATAAAAAAAATAAATCATTTAACTGATTAGCAATGCATGTAAAACTACTATTCATCATTCTAAAATCAGTTTCAAACTCTAACTTGCATGGTATTTTTTATTTTCCATTCAGCTTATTTGAGTACGTTACACTGACATGTTCATAGCAGATAGTCAGGGATAACTCTATTCATTTGAAATAAATTTTTTGGTAAACATAACACACCAATATACAGTCCTTGCCCAAAAAACTACCGGATGTAACACAATTTACTAAACATTGCGAACGCAACAAACAACCTTATGAATTTGGTTAAAATAGTGCGTCTTTCAAAGTCATTTAATGAGGTCTAACTAAACTAAAACTGTCAAAATACATTTGAAGGAATTTTTGTTGTAACAAAAGATAAACAAACAAATGTTTCAAAGAGAGCAAGAACGAAGATTGGTGCAGTATTGTCAGTAGGCGATTCAATGACTTTAGTGGCTGCACCAATGTTCGTTCTTGCTCTCTTTAAGATGATAAAGGGAACTATGTGTATGAAACAAATGTTTGTATAATCTAGGTTAATGATGTTCAAATACGTCTCGTCTTATCTTAGCATTCCAAATAAGTCAAGAGATCTCTTAAAAATATACGTAAAGATAACGAAAGGTGAGATGACTTAAAGTTATTTTGAAAAACACGACGCTATCAAATTTAAGAAAAAGTGACCTTCGAAATCGTAATCGATTTATTATTTAAGCACTTTGAGAAACTTAACTAGATTCATTTTTAGATAATAAGTAGATAAACCATATTATAGGAATCTGATCTTAAGATTTCACTGAACATACTCAGCTTAGTAGTTAGAAGTCAAGTATTTTAATCGTTTTTTCAATTACCATTCTACATTCTCAATCTGGCCATTTTATGGTTTGTTGTAAATGCCGGCTTCACATATCTTGTAAATCTTTACATAATTAGTAAACATATCACATAACCCTTGTAGTTATTTCATGAAATGATTAGCATATCTTATATTTTCAATATTGTTTGTTTTCCTTACTTTGATTACAATAGCTTATCGAGAATGATTTTTATACGTATATTGGTTTGTCTAGCGTTGTTGAAGAGTTTGTAAATTTAAAAGCTACGACGGACTGTTATCACACATCTTCAAGCAATAAATTACAACTAAAGGAATTATCTGCTTCAAGTTCATCCAATTTGTCGTCATCAATAAAACACATTGAAAATAAACGATCTAATATGAATGAAACAACCAGTTCATTTCTATGCTCTGGCTATTCTGAAAATAAAAATGGTAAGAGTGGATGTGTTGAGAACTTACCGAAACTTGTTGGTCTCATACCTTTGTCAGTTACTGCTAATAGTACCAATAATGACATTGAAAATTCTAATTTTCGTATTTTACAAATATCACCACTATCATTGCAAACAATATCCTTCAATAATGGTAATTCCACTTATTCTCAAGGTATACTTGTTTGTTGTGGCTTGTCAAGATCATTATCTCATGTAGAGCTTCATCATAAAACAACTACTGATAATCAATCGATTGAGGATGGTGATTTATTTTTATTCGGGTAAGTTTTAGTTATTCTTTCATTTATTTTTATCGAATCCATCTAATAAATACGTGAAACTGATTTATAAAGACTTCATATAAACTACAGTGCATAAATAAGTCTTGTTTTATTCACAGTACTCTGCATTTGGGATAATAAACTTATTCTATTTCCGTGTCATCTTTTTTGCAAGACATACACCCCTGAAAGTTATTACAATTCAAGTACTAGTTTAGACGTTTGTTATGTACACTCCCTGACCCACCATCTTTAACTCTCAACAAGTGATGTTAACCGTTGTACGAGTAGGTTGGAAGAAGGTTATAGGTGACCAAGTCTTATTATCTATGCTCCCATATTCGATTTCTTTACTTTTAATGTTTTTAAACTCATCTCCTTGTACCAATGTAATATGGGTACTTGAACAAACGCTTACTCATGCCCAGGCTATACTTTGATTGTGCCTGACTGATTAAATTTAGATCCCCGATTGCTTCTCAGTTATTTAAAATCATGTCCACAAAGTAAGCTATTATATTGTAAATGCTAGTTAACACTCATTATTTTTAATTCTGATTAATAATACAGTTTCGTCATTTAGGTATTCGGTAAAAAAATTATGCCCCTAAATGCCCTGGTTCGATTGAATGTGGGGATAATCCGCTCTCTCTCTCCCTCGAAGTGCTCTCACATAGCCACATACGTACAACCACTACCAGGAAAGTCCTGCTCACTGCCTCCTCTCGGCGGGGGTATTGTTTACGAAATTCTAAGAACAAAAAGCAAATGTCTGGCGCTTTAACCGGGTTGGTGGATATGGAGGATCCGCCTAGGGGGATTAAAAAACCCTGATTCCAAATCAATGATGCACATGGGCTCCAGGATGATGAAGAAACAAATGGCGTATGAACATATTGTTCGTCTCTGGCTACCATGGGACTGCATCTCCTGACGTTGCTCCATTGCCTTATAGATTAGACCTTTAGGTTAAAGGCTCCCGAAGTTGCCCTCTGAGAAACCCATCTGGTTCAGTTTGGGCGTCTGGTCAGTATTCCAGCCCTCACATAAATCAGATGGTGAAGTGTGGTGCACATATATTTGGTGCCTCCTTGTACCAATGTTTACGTGTTTAAATAAATACATGAAATTATATCGTTTTTCTTTTAAAATTTTTAGATATAATGAAAATGATTGTATCCTACCTAATTCAGTTGGTTATCACTTAGTTATTGATGAAACTCCACTTTTACACATTAAACTGCCTGATCCCTATTGTCCTGTTCAAATGGATGTGGTATCCAGCACTAATGATCTACATGTTTGTTCTTTAAACACTTTATACCCTTCAGTTAAATTACAATATGAATGTGGACAATCATGTGTAGCTGTCAACAATACTACTTCTACTACTACTACCACTAATAATAATTTAAAGTTTACCATAGACTCATCTTTAATTACTACAGGAACATATGACTTATCATTTTCTTGTTTTATATTAACAGTATACAATTCATTGTTACAAATAAATGTTTATAAAAATCTATTATGTTATGCTCAAATAATCATATCTAATCCAATCTTATCAGTTAATGAAGATAACAATAATAATGAAATAAATAACAACAATACATATTATAATATACAATTTGATACATTCACATATTGTACTGGTTTAGAAAATATATGTTTAGGCACTGTAAATGGTGAAATGTACATTTATGAATTACATAATCATGAATTATTTAAATATGATATGAATAAACAAAAACGTATTCATTTATATAATTCAATATTACCAATTCATAAACAATATAATGAATCTACTGATGAGAATATTGAATTATTCTTTCCTATTCATAATCATAATAGTAGTCATAGTAATAATAGTTATTCATTAAGTAATCTATATGCTTATTATAATTGTCCATTAAAACAATGTTTTATTTTATATCAACTTATTAAAACTATTTCAATAGATTCATTAATACAAGTTAATTTTCCAGATCAAATTGGTTGGTATGAAGTGGAACTTTTTCCATTATTATCTTCTTCTTCTACAATAAAACCTACTAATGATAATAATACAATTCAAATACTTTCTAAATTAGTTACACGTTATATACAATTAGAAAAAGAATCATTTAAGAAATTAACATTAACTAATGAGAATATTTCAGTAATATTAAAATGTGCTACATTAGCTGTTCAACTTAGTTTATCATCTAATATATCTACTCATTTATGGGAATTTAATACTAAAAATTGGTATGATTATCATAATTTAATTAAACAAAATATTGATAAATCAAATATGAATTTAATGAATAAAAATATTATTCATAATAATTATCTAATATTAAATTCTCAAAATATATTATCTGAATATCTATTAGAGATTAGTTTACCACGAATATATTTAATTTCACATTTTATATTTCATTCAACATTAAAACAATATGATGTAAGTGATTATTATTATCATTGGGTCCAATATTGAAATGTAAATCTTTTCAAATGTGGGTGTGTTTTTTTTAAAAATATGCATATGGTAACCAACTATCTGAACATAAATTTTATTTATTGATTTGAACACATAGATATTGGTACAAGAAGGTATCAGATACATATGATATGTTTCAGGGCTGGGATACTGCCCAGACCGCGGCAGATGGCTTTCTTAGGGGGCAACTCCGGGAGCCTCTAACCTAAATCTGAAGGTTTGATCCCATGGTAGCCGGTGATCAACGATTGGTTCATATGCCATTTGTTCCTTCAGGATACAGAAGCTCATGTGCACCATTGGTTTGGAATAATGGTTTTCCAACTCCCCTAGGTGGACTCTCCGTGTCCATCAACTTTGTTCAAGCGCCAGATATTTTTTCGTCCTCTCATTTTCATAAACAACACTCCCACCACGAGAAGGCAATGAGTAGGACTTCCTTGGCAGAGGCTACATACGCGTGGCTATGTGAGAGCATTTGGAGAGGGAGAGCGTACTCTCCCAACTCTCGGTTGTACCAGGGCGTTTGGGGGCACGAACATAAGTAACATCTTATGTGCTCATATATATCAATTCATAGTTAAACGATAGATGGGAAATAATAAATGTAGTTTGTTATTGGAGAAAGCCGATTATGTATCTATTCAGATTGTCAGTGTACATGATTTTGATACATTATAATCCAGTCTAGTAATTAAAATTTTTTATTCGCTGTAGTCTTTCCATCCTTATAAAGGACTTGGTAAATCGTAGAAATTCGGCAGCAGAATATAATACCAGATAATGCTGAGTATCTGTTTTAACGGTTTTTACCGTATTTTAGAGTGTGAAAGTTGTGATACTGCCCGGGTGACCAGACCGAAGCAGGTGGTTTTCTTAGGGGGTCACTCCCCGAGCCTTCGACCTGAAGGTCTGTTCCACAAGGTAGTGGAGCATCGTAAGGAGATGCAGTCCCATGGTAGCCGGTGACTAACGATTAGTTCATACGCCAGTTGTTCCTTTAGGATACTGGAGCCCATGTACACTATTGATTTGGAATTCGGATAAAGCGCCAGACATTCGCTTTTCGTCCTCTCATTTTCGTAAACAACAGTAATGCCACGAGAAGGAAGTGAGTAGGACTTCCTTGGCAGAGGCTGTATACGCGTGGCCATGTGAGAGCATTTGAAGGAGAGTGAACTCTCCCCACTCTTGACTGTACCAGGGCATTTGGGGGCAAGTCGATATGGTTCAGTGAGTGTCCATAACTCGACTGCACCATGTCATCTAGTTCATTCATCGATTAGCATTCTATTCATTGATTTTATCAATGGAGAAAGTCGTCTCATCAATCAACAAACGCTTTCTCCATAAAACTCCTTTAACAGTATTATCATTATTTTGAAACCCACTTTTTATATTTTAGAAAGTGCAAAATCAATCCGATGTATATATAACTCTTCTAAGAAAAAATATTTCATCTAATAATCCTGTCAGTTTTATTCATAATCCTTCAAAAACCTCAACAAATGCCGACTGTAATGAATTTCATCATGTATCATCAGTTCTTGACCATAGTTTGGTGGTACACGATTTAAACGCCCCATTTATCGATGATGAATACGACTGTTCACATTCGTCAGAAGACAAAACACAAACTTCAGATGACAATATCGACTTCAATAATGCATTACTATCAAATTATTTAAAAAGTATGTTATTTTTGGTAATATAGGTTGATTCAGTACTTTTTAGTACAATTGTTTTCTTCTTTGTAAGCATTGTTATATCAGGTTTAGCATTAGGTTAAAAAGGAGTTTCTGTTTCCAGTTAATCGTTTGGTTTGTATAAACAACTAGTTGAATAGTAGGTTAAATGTTAAAATTTTGTTAGTATGATAATGTTAAAAAACATTGGCAATGTTTATCCCTTGCCATCTTAAATCATATATCTAATTGTGTTTCTAGCTAACTGTTATAGCTTGTAGCCTATTAAGATATAACATAATGATACCGTCAATTAGAGAATATTGGCTTATCGACCTGCGCAATGACGCATAAATCCGTACGAGGAGTCTAGAGTCCTTATCGGTCCTTCTTCCTATCTAGTTCTGCCTGTTAAGTCCAGAACGCCAATGTCAGCTTCCTCGACACGAATCATATACTTCAGATATACTTGGTTTATATACAAACCAAACAGACTACATCACACCATAAATTAGAAAATAACACTTGTACAAGATCTAGCCATAAGTGGCTGTGATTGTGGAAGACTGTAATTAAAAATCTGGGAATATCTCAGGAGGTTAGTCACGGCTCGGATAGCTCGGTGGTAACGTCTCTGACTGTGAAGCTGGGTGACACGAGATCGAATCCGCCAGGGAGCACCAGTTCTCTCAAGATTACAGGTATACCTTGCTGACGAGTGCCAAGTAGCACGAAACCCGGGTCCAGGGTTTCCTGTTGACTACCTCCAACCACCATCTAAAATCTTAATACATAGTGTCCGCAGTGTCGAGTCACCTAGACTGGTGGCCACATTGCAACATGATCGATAGCATTCGATCTGCACTAATAAGGACTAGACAAGCATGACATTGATCACCACCCAGCGATCAATCAATTGTGATATCTCAAGTATGGCAAATTGTATAATAATAGTTCATAAGTCAAAATAAAGCTTATAATAAGAGTAATATGATTATACATAGTTTAGTTACTTGACAATCACACGATAAAAATGTATGTATAATATTAGTCCATAAAGAGATCCCAACAATTACCATTCATTATTCTCGTCGGGATATATTATTAACAAATGAAATTTACTCAAAATAGGATGACGATTATATCATATTGTATGTCATAGAAAATTGCTTAATAATCGAGAATTGATTAAAGGTAATAAGATGAAACCAAATCTGGGAAGGGTGGATAATAAATCAAAAACTTGAAAGTGATAACGAATAATTAGAATTAAGAAAACTAAAACATAAGATCATGTTACCGTTTTTGAAAAACTTTAGGTGTTAGGGCCATCGAAGAATGATTGATTGCACGTATCTCTTTTGCAATCAGAGCTTAAGCATAAAAAGTAGGTTTTCTAGCACTTCTGCAATGCATAAATTATTAATTTGTGCTCCTCTCGAACTAAATCATCTGATTATATTGATGATTTCAAAGTATTTATAATATGGTGTCGTGTGATCAGAATTCACAAGGTGTTTTAATATTGGGCTATTGATTATTTTACGTTCGCCTTTTGAGAGCTGCATATGATTATACTCGGAGATGCATTTAGGAAGAGCTCACTTTGTGTAGTAAATGTAACCTGCTCCACAAGATCAAGTAAACTCATAAATACATTATAATGTGGCTCGATATAGTAGTATATCTTTGGCATATCCATTAATGATAGTGCAGCTGATAAAGACGATGCGAAGATTAGCAGCATAAAAAGATTTACTTAAGGATTCCGTCAGATGGTTTTTCAGTGAATTATAGGTTTTCACTAGTGGTTTAGCTTAAATCGATTCGTGAATTCAACTGCGAAAATACCAGAATTTCCACAAATCCTCATACTATTAATATTCATGTGTTCACTAGTGACTAACTTGAAGATGGATTTCCTGGAGTTATAGTGAGAAGCTATGACCAGTGGGGTTGCATCTATGTTGGGTGTGAGACAGTTATCCGCCTCAGTTAGTGGATGAAGGGAAGCGCAAGATCATGGATCGATTGAAGTTAAACATTAACACCGCTGGATTCCAGATTGACTCGTGAATTCAACTGTGAAAATACTACAATTTCCACGAATTCCCATACTGATAATTATTTTATTTGTTAATTAACTATGAATACGATTGTGCAGCATAAGTAATTGATGTCATCGAAAAGAAAATTTTTGCTAAATTGTCCTTAATTCTTTTTCAATGGAAACCATATGTTGCTTTGGTTATATATATTTGTGCATTTTATTCCGGGTATCTCTTTTCTTTTCTAGAGTCGTCTCTGTTTGATATCTTACTACCAATAACACGTTTACAGTTTTTTTATTAGTCCTAAACAAGACTGAAACCAAATAAAATCAACCTGAGTTGGGTACTTAGATTTTTGTAGTATTAAGTTATGGTCTGTACAGCTTTTTCGTTACTGATGAATTTCACTTATATTAAGCACATAGTGTAGATTCATGTATATTTACCGTCTAGTAGTAGAATTAGTATAGTATTATTCATAGTTATCAGTTTCATGTTTGTTTAGTACTGGTTGCATTGTATCAATTAAGCCTGAAATATAAACAATAGACAGTGTCTTGACATCGCAACGAACAATGATATCAGAATATTTTGGAGACAGTTGACGTGAATCCGTTAATCTAGATGTCATGCTAGGTGGTACTCATCTTATTTTTATTATCAGCCTGGTGAACCTAAAATCAAGAACTTTCTGTGCATTGCTTTCAATCACCTATATATATCTGCTTTGTTTGTACTTTTCAGTTCCTGGACGTGTGTATCATATGCCTACTGAAAGCATCATCTCATCAGAACGTCTTCGTGAATTAAATGCAAATATAATTGCTGGTCCATATTTATTAAGTGATTTTCTTAGTATGAATGATCGTTGTAGTAATATTCCAATGACCAGTTCAGAATTAATTAAATCACGTTCACGTTTATTTTCTGTGCATATCAAAATAGTTGATGCCAAAACTGAAGTTAGTGCTTTTCCCCTTTCTTAAATTGTATTTTTATAGAGTACTTTGATTACAATCCCATTATTCAGAGTGTGAAGTTGTAAACCTGTGATTCAGGGCAGGAATTAGTTACTAGTGAGCCAAGACATATATTCCTGTAGTCAGTCACATAATCGATTATTTTTTTATATCGTAACTCTAATCTTTACTTAGATTCAATTGTGGTCGGTGATAAAATTGTGTCACATTGACAACCTTGAATGGTTTCACGGATGACCTTGAGACTGACCAACCGCAATTAGACAATCAGAATAGACCTGAAATATAGAAAAATGATAGAATTACATAGGATTTGAATCTTTTACATCATTATTAAACCTATTATTGCTGAATATCAATAATTTAAGCTTTAAGTCATTGTTCTGTAATCAAGACGGATCCTAGTCCAACATATTTCGAAACCTAACTCCCAACCCCTAATCACTTGACTTCTAACATGAAAACCTTTGAACGCTAGGTCCTAATTCCTAAACATAATTCCCAACCTTAGTACTCTTAAACGCCTGTTCCTTAGCTTAAAGCTCCTAAACCCTGACTTCGAACTTTGATACTGCTCCCATTGACACTTAAACTAAACATATTGACTTTAACAGTTCATTCCACAAGAAAACTATCATTCAGTCTTTTCGAAGTACAAAATATTGTGAAAATCATGGGTTTTAGCAACAATCTATCTGCAACAGCGTTTCGGATTTGCCCATCGGCTAGCTTAACTTCTATTGGTCGTGCAAAGCCTTTGGTACAATATAATTTTCCTTGGTTAATTGCTTATACTTTAAGTAGTTTATTGTTTCTATAGTCTGGTTCTCTTTAGTTGATCGGTAATTGTTTATCTGCGTATCACGTAATGTATACGATATTGGCATTATCTAGTGCACCAACAGAGTGCCTGGCGAGAATGTATCAATTATCCTATTATTATCATCACATATCGAGTATCAGTCGCTAATAATAATTTGAGTCGTTTGATTGTTAGTCGAAGCAAGAAAAGTAGTTTCCATGAGTATAGACAGTTCATTATTTGTGTGTGGGCTGTGATACTTCCCGGGTGCCCAGACCGAAGCAGGTGGTTGTCTTAGAGGGCCACACCCCGAGCCTTTGACCTAAAAGTCGTCCCAGAGAATTCGAATGTCGTGAATTATTTGCCGACTCTGGGACTGGTTGGAAAAAGCGGAGAGGTGGTCAGTGCATGACATGGTGTCGTGGCATGAAAGAAAGCTGCAAAAGACTGGCTTGTGTTTGTCCTTCACGACTCCCTGGCTGGGGTCCGAGAGATGGTGCAACACAGTGGCTAGAGACGTTATCAGATATGGCTCAGAATAGAAGCCAGTAGCGATCCTGCTGTAACCTTCTTTTACTTTCTTCCTAAAAAGTGGTTGTATCTTCCTTAACTGAAAGATTTCTTTTGATTGTACCTTTCCACTCCCCAATTATTATTATTATTATTACTATTACTATTATTATTATTATTATTACTGCCTTACACCAATCTCTTCGTTGTCGTTCTCTTTTTAAAACGCCCCATACCTTTTTTTCTTCTCCTTCCCTTTAAATTCTCATTGTTTTGTGTGGTGCATATATATTTGGCGCACTCGTGTACCAATATTTATGTGTTCAAATAAAATAATCAGTCGCTAAAACAGCAGTTTTTTCAAGGTTACTATCATAAAACAGGAATTATTTGCCACTTACCTGTATGAATGGAAACGTTCCCTACTTAGCTGGCTGTTTTTTAGAAGAGAGAAAATGATGTAAACCACATATTCATCTGCTATTTAAGGAACTGATAGATCCTATGGGATTCGAACCTGGATTACCAAACACCACAGCCTAAAACGCCACTGAGCTATTCGGACAGTGACTGACCTTCTGTAAAACTAAGCTGTTTGCAAATACTTGATCACAGACTGGTGACTAATGTTAGATTTATATAGTCCTTCTAAGTGTTGATCGAATCTTTTCAATCATGTTGTAAAATGGTCACTAGTCATAGTGACTGAACATCGCTTGTATTCTGTTAATATATATGTTGATTCGTTGAATGTAGTCAAAAAGAGATCTTGTATCTAGGTTTATCATTATATAACGCGTTTATTTATCTATTTATACAAGTAGGAAAAGAATATTATTGTTGGGGATGTTAGATCCTCAGAACTCACTTGATAAATGTCTTATTTTTGCAATTTTATTTTGGAAATTTGAATTTCTTATTTTCGCGCCAAAAGCGCCCATTTTAATATTCATGTCCTATTTACCACTTGGGAAGACCTTAAATATCATTGATTTGTTGTCTTTTTTAATATGCTATTTTGTAACGCTTCCCAACGACATTTTTATGCTGTATATACGCTTGAATTATACTAGTGGTTGTTTTTCGTGCTTCTGGCTACTTGTGGAATACATTTCCCTCTTCTTGACCTGGACTTCTCTCGCTGATTAACAGGGCTGGGATGCATCGGAATAGTTCGATTATTTAGTCATTGTGTCACTGAGTCTACGTTCCGTTCTCAGATCACGTGAACTCGTAATCTCTTCAAACATAGCAATCATGTTATCCTATCTTGTTTCCATTTCTTTTAGACTTCTTCAAATCTTGATTGTCAATCGGCTACCACAGTTGAAATTCAACAACCACCTTTATTACTATCTGATATATTTGCACAAATTGGTCTAAGTGTTCATCAGTTTAACACCACCTGTTATTGTTATGACCATCCTGCTCCCCCTAATGATTATGTTAATGAAACACCATCGTCATCATCGTTATCAACTGATCAGCTTACAATTGTGAATGATGTTGATAATGATGGTAATGGACACACATCATTAAAGTCGTGTAAAATGCATACAATTTTACATGAAAGGGCTCAACGTTTAGCTATTCTACGCTCTATGAAACTTCATGAAGATTGTTTTAATTTTCTTAGCTCAACTGATGGTACTTGTAAACATAATAGTAATAATAATCATAATAAATGGAGAGACTTTCTTACTCAAAACTCCTACCATCATAATAACAATTTTTCGTCAATTATTCTAGATATTTTGAATTGGGTTGTGTTGATGTATCTTCATGAGTTAGAATTATCATGGTAAGTTTCCACTTTCCTAATAATATTATTTATGATGATGGTATTCTCAGTAAAGTTAGATAATAGCTACCAGTGGAATCCAGAACACCCGTCTTGTCCTATTTGAGACTGGTCAACTGGATGTATTTGATATTTATTCCACCATTCAAATTCGCTTAAAATGCTTGTAATTTAATGGCAATATCAAGGTAATCCACATATGTTTGGTGGCTAACTGTTTCACAGTGGACATGGTTTAGCTCCACTGGTTATGATTTCTGTGAAAAACATCTTGGGAAGTTTCCTCTAGAATGTAGTCACCAATGAACATATGATAATTGTTAGTGTGAGATTATAGCAGTTGTTGAATTTCATTAGAATATTATCTAACGTAGAGGAAGTGTTCACACGAGAGACCGAAAGTTTTGGGTTCAAGTTTAACGTGTGCTATCGTGGATCAGCATTGTTGAAAAGCCCCATACTACAACAAAATGACCCTTCCTTACGTCCAGGTTTTCAATGGCAGTTTAATTTTGATAGGTTCATAATTTCAATGAAATTGAACAATTTTCACATCTCCATACTGACTTTGGTATTTGTCTTAATAATTACATTTTATTGTGTTGATATGGTATGGTAACCTTCAATGCTGCGTATATATGTCAGGTTGTTTGTTGTTTATCACTGATTGACCGATTTGTTGTCTTTAATAAATAAATATAACTTGCAACTATCTTCACCAACTTGTTATTCACTGATTTGGTTAGGTTAATATTCAACTTACAGTTTATACTGTATAATTAATATTATTTTCATTTGTTAATTTTAACCTTATTTAGCGATATCGTAGCGAATTTATTAAATTTGGCTGCAAATAATTATGAGATGTTAATTGAAAATGTAATTGTACACGGTGATCGTGAATGTGTTCAACTTGGAACAAAATTATTGTTTAGTTTACTCAAGTAAATTCTTGGTTATTTTTATTAGTTTCCTAATATTCGTATACTGTTGTAGAAAATTGTACAGTTACATATACACTAATATTTGTGCTATTCATATAATTTCTATCTCACGAATACTAATTAAATTAGTGCGTTATAAATCTTTTTGTTTAAATACATCTCAATGGTGGTATCTGTGACTGAGAGTCAAGTTTAATTGCATTGAGAGGAAAGTTGTTTGAGCATTAATTTCCTCTTAGATTACAAATATGATTTGATGAAAATTACTAACACCGAAGTGTAGATTCAGGACCGATTGGTTTTAACTATCTAACACTAAAATATAGTCCACATGTTATCGAAGCTAATGATCACATTGTAAATTGATCGACATAACTCAATCAACACTAAGAGTTAAATAAATGTGACATTGGTTACTGCTTAGTGACCAGTCAATCTACATTTATTCTGTTTGTTTAGTCACATGATCTTTATGGTGTTCGCTTTTGTAAAGCATTCAAATAATATACAACAGCCTACTAGTGCTTTATACATTCCCTCATTTCTCAAACACTAAAGCTTTCAAATGTATTTCCGATATTTTTTATAAGCAATATTACTTAATTGTAGTTTTAAAAAATAACCTAGTTTGAATATATCTTTTTATCAGTCATGAATGATGGACATAGTTGATCATCGTTCAGTACTCCTTATTCTCATTTCTTATTCGCATTGAGCATGCTATTACCCGTTGGTTAAGGAGTTTAACTTCCAGTTGCTGGCTCGAAACCTACCCCAAGTACTTGTATTTGGGTAACCACATAGTATTACTAGCTCTCATCCTTGGAGTTTGGGTCAAAACCAAATGCCTAAGTCTATGCCTGGTAATAAATGAGATGTCATTAAATCAAATTACCAAGAATTTGACATTTTTAAGTAGGGTTCACAGATTACATGATATAATGTCAGTCAGTATATTCACTTCAAGTCATTGATACACTATCCGTTACTAGAGGTTTCAACCTGCTTACTTTCGCATGTATTTTAGACGAATAATCTGGAAAATGTTTAACAAAAAAATAACCATTAGATGAGTGTTTCCATATTGATCGGTTGGTCGTGTTGTTAAAGTATTGTGTTTGGGTATTTATTGGACAAACTTTGGATACATCTAGTTTGTACTATGCCGATTTTTATTTCTATAATTTTGTTTTTTTCATAGATTAGAATTTGTCTTCCTAAAGTATTGCTCTTCAAATAATTCATCATATAAGAAGCCAATGGTTTTCCATGCATTACGCAATTGTCTGGCTGCCGATAGTAAAACTACTACTGATAATAATAATAGTAGTAATAGTAAATTCATTCGTTGGTTATTAATTTGTCAAACATCAGCTGGATGTGAAACACTATTCAGTTTATTGGATTTTATCATTTCTTATTCTTTTGATGAATATCGTAACAATTTAAATGATTTAAAGGTAAAATTGTTATTACAAAATAATCTAATGACTTTACTCAATACAGTTTCATTGTTTCATGAGGATTTCAATCGTCTACACCCGTAAGTATTTATTTTGATATTTTTCTTAGTATTTCCATTCAATCGGTTGTTTTTTCAAGGGATTGTAAACATTGTTTATGAAAGTTATGTTTGAGATCATCTCAGTCGTTGAAATTAAATTACTTAATCCTAACGTTTTGTTTAAAAAAAAAACGTGTTTGAATTTCTTCAGGGCGATCATGAAAATCAATTTCTGTCAAACTATTCGTTTAAATATTGACGACTATTCGTACAAATAAATAGTAGTTTTCATTCTTGTTCAATGACTGAGAGTGTGACGGAGGACCCTTGAGAATTGTTCACCTGTCTTTGTTATTGAATTTCAAGTAACCACCCAATCATTGCACAGACAATGTTGATCATTACTCGTGTAAACCTTGTGTAACACAGTATTTTAGGGCTCTTTTATGTTGGAAGTTTCATGTGTTACACTTTAAATAATCTTAAATGTTCCAGGTTAATTACAGAATGAACAAAGTTTTGATGGATAATATTTGCAAGCAAGTGAGATAATTAAATTTAAACTGTTTCATTACGATTTACATTGCACACTGGCTTCAACTAGATAATTATTAAGAGCCAATAATAACCATACAATCGTCACTAACCTCTTGTAATACTAATAGAAAAGTTGTTTTTTATTGTTAAAAGAGATATGATTTCCACTGTGGCAAAGAACAAACAAATATTCGATAATAGGACTACGGAACCATTCATTTTTTACTATTGATTCTTGTTATCTCGGTATAATCTGTTCGTTATTATCTATATCATACTAGTTACATAGAATAAATGCTAGCAGTTAACTTTTGGAGTGCGTTCCAATCTACTTGAGACTTTTCAGTTGAATGTACCTACCCCCCCCCATTGTTTATATTCACGTTAAAACTCTGATGCCAGTAACACCAATGCGTTATCCACGGAGCTAATGAAACTAGATAGTAATCTACCTGTCTAGGGGATATGTTATGTTATTATTGGCAATTTTATATCGAGGCAATCCACACAAGATACACATATGTCAACTTAAGGTGATAAACATAGTCAGTAAAGTTTTTCAACAACAGGATAATTCAAATCCATCATAACAATTATATATATATATATATATATATATATATATATATATATATATATATATATATATATATATATATACCACTGTAAGTTATTTCATCTAGTGGATCGGATTGGATCAGTGGTTTAGTGAGTTCAATATTTAGCCACTGAGTTTTGGAGTCAAACTACGCTCCATTTTTTTTAAATTCAAAGCCATTGATTACAATCATTGTCTATCATTTTTAACATGTATGTACCTGATAAATAAGTTGAACTTACTTACGCCTGTTACTTCTAATGGAGCATAGGCCGCAGACCAGCATTCTCCAACACACTCTGTCCTAGGCCTTCTTTTCTAATTCCATCCAATCCTTGTTCATTTTTCTCATGTCTGTCTCCATTTCCTGGCGTAATGTGTTCTTTGGTCTTCCTCTTTTCCTTTGGCCTTGAGGATTCCATGTGAGGGCTTGTCTTGTGACGCAGTTGGGTGCTTTCCTCAATGTGTGTCCTATCCACTTCCAGCGCTTCTTCCTAATTTCTTCTTCCGCTGGGATCTGGTTTGTTCTTTCCCACAGTTGGTTATTGTTAATAATGTCCGGCCAACGGATCCGAAGTATTTCGCATAGACAACTGTTAATAAACACTTGTATCTTCTGGATGATGGCTTTTGTAGTTCTCCAGGTTTCCGCCCCATACAGTAGAACTGTCTCGACATTTGTATTGAAAATCCTGACCTTGGTGTTGGTTGACAGTTGCTTTGAGTTTCAGATGTACTTCATTTGTAAATATGCTGTTCTTGCTTTACTGATCCGCGCTTTCACATCTGCATCAGACCCACCATGTTGATCAATGATGCTGCCCAAGTATGTAAAGGTTTTTACATCCTCCAAATCTTCTCCGTCAATTGTGACTGGATTGGTGCATGCTGTGTAATAAGTTGAAGGTATATTAAAAACTATTGCATATATTCATTTCTTATTCTAAATTAATGTGCTTTTTTACTTATTTATTAATTACAGTTCATATCGTTTACCTACATGTCTTGGTCCACCTATGCTATTCAATCTACCAATATGTAATTGGACTTTCTTAGGTTCTGAATGCTTACAATCAATTAATAACAATAATAACAATAATAAATATCAGAAATCATCTCATTCAACAATTCCAAGTACTAGTAATAATACTAATACTAATTCTAATCATAATATGAATTTAAATTATGAAAATATTAAAAATTGTTATTCTATTAATAAAGATGTAATGAATTTTAATGGTATATTTACACCGAAAAATTATATAACATTTATATCTGATTCAAAATTCAATGATACTATTGATTTAGCGCAAAATACAAAATTAATAGAAACATCAAATCATTTACAAAACAATGATAACATTAATAATAATAATAATAATAATAATAATAATAATAATAATAATAATAATAATAAGGATTCATTATGTCTACTCTCATCTAATTATTCATCTGATGTATCATATATTAATTTCTCTGATATTTTCACATTAATGCGAAGTAATTACATTATGAATATTGATAAATCAAATAATATACATCATATTATATTATCAGATTTACAAGATTGGCCATTCAATGGTATATTAGATGTGGAACCATTAAAATTTCCTTTAGATAAATTATCAATTCAATTAAATGATGATTGTGATATTGAACGTGTGGATTTTTGTATGTTCGTATTTTTTTTTTGGGGGGGGAGTTGTTTTCTTTGCATTTTCTTAAATTTGAGTAGTATAATCTATATGAATATTTTGTCAATAGTAAAATGAATAGTTTGATTAAAGTTTAGATTCGAATATATAGAAGCTATTATTATTTTCAATAATCACAACGATTGAAATTTGAATGATTTCAACATTTCGTCCAACAAACTTGTTTAGATTTCGAGTTGTCTAATTGAGTCGTCGTATTTGAAGTGTAACTCAATATTAAGTAAATGAATTTGTGCCATGTAATGAGTTAATATAATTATAATCGTTAAGTCTTTGATTTTTCGGCCCATTAATTTGTGCTTTATATACAGAGAGAGTTGTTTCGACCTAGTTTATGGCTTTAACATGCCTAGTACAACCTCTGGTATTACTAATCAACGGCCTTGAAGGCAAAGTTTTTGCACGAAATTTAATCATGCATTGTTGCTAATGTCAGTTCGTGATAAAAACCTTAATAATTCATATTTAAATATTCATTTTTCTTGTTACATTTGTTGATATTCATTTTTCACTGGTTGAAATCATGAGTCAATTGAAGCTAGACCACTATGGAAACAGCCGTCCAATGCTTTCAGGTTTTTCGTGGTTGTCTAGCTTCCATTGACTCATGATTTCAATCAGTGAAATTTCTAAAATCTCCACAAAACGCCTTCTGATAATATTTATTTTTACCATTAATCGTTTGGTAACTAAACCTTGTTTTCTCATCGGATAAAATGTAGTTCAAGGTCGTTCACATACTTATACTAGCTATCATGCCAATTGCCTATGAACTGAATGGTTGGCAAGTAGAGCAAAAACAATTCAGCTGTCCAATGTATTCCTAATTCACATTAACTGGAAAAGGCCCGTAAATAAGTTTTCGACTAACAAGACCACAACGTGCAAGTGATAAGAAAATTACAATCATGAAAACTAGGACAATAGAGTAAAAAGATGGAATATAAATGTCACTTCTCAATTCATTACAGTCGATGAAACTGTTTGAAAATGTAAACTGGCACCTATAATTGACAACTTCACTCATTGTAATCAAGATGGATATACATCTTTCAGTTTCTAATTCTAATCTCCATAAATTTTTTGCTTGAACAGTATATTGAGCATAGAGAATATCTCGTTTGTAATTAGTATTTATGGGTTCAATTTGAATGTCATTAGGTTAGTGGTTCCAAACTCACATCACCTACATAGGTTTGGGTGACCAGATAAATGCACTAACCTTTAGTCATTAAATATTTCTCAGAATTGAGTATGCAAACATTTGAATGTTTAGTTGCTGAATTATACTAAAAATAAATTAATAAAATTACCGTTATATAGGTGTAATGACCTTAATTGAGAATTCTTTTTACTATTTGTTTCTCGTTAATATTGAACTGTAAATTTCGCTTATTTATTTTACGTAAGAAGTTTAATGCTTTTATACTGTTGAGTATATATATTCAGATTAGTGACGCTAATAAACTGGTGGCTACGATACAGGGATATCAATCAATAGGTCACAAGTTAGAACCTAACTTCATTTAATTCAGTTTGAACAAGCATCACATATACTGTGTACTTTCAAGTCAAATATTTTGATATTTAACTGATAATTGGTGATAATAACTATGTTACAGTACATTAGTCATAATTAACGTAACACCTGAAATCTATGTTCATCAGTTCAAATCGCTACACTATATCACTACACTTGGATGAAATTACGAAGACAAATGCGATAGTAATAAAACTATTAACAGTATCAATGGTATTAAGAAAGGTTATGGATAGGCAATATAAATTAAGAAGAAAGAATGAATTTTCGAAATATAAAAATATGAAAGTGAATTCGTCTTCAACGTATTCCGAGTTTATACATTCAATGTCTTCAATTTTTGGTTACAATAATCGCACAATTTACACAATTACTAAATACAGATTCGTGTACTTGACTTTAAATCATATTTTTTTGTGGGAGAGGTAATGATTATTGTGTAACTCATCAAAACCGAAATCGGCGACACAGAACTCGAAACTTCAACCTAATTTTTGACTGCCTTAACCACTACACTCGTCCTATTTGATAAATGAGCTCCGCTCGTTTATTTTCTGTCTAAATCATATTTCCTTTTTATTAGGTTTCCTTTTTGTGTATTTATTAAATAGTTTTCTGTAATTTAATACATTTTTTCCCTTTTACATTTTACAGTTACTGGTGAACAATTACCAATAAATGATAATAATTCTTGTGTAATAAAATTCAATGAATCACAAGTTGAAACTAATAATGAAAATCATCAGTTAACATCTATTATATCTCATCTCATTAATTCCATTGAAGCTTATCATTTAGTAATATCTCGTATGCATCCAGGTGCACATCGTTCAGTTACATTTAGTACTTATTCATCATCAATAAATTATTTAACTGATCTAATTATTCCAATGAATCCTTGTTTACAATGTATTACATTAGAAGCTATATTCATAGATAAATCATTCAAGAAACCAAAAAGTTCTACAAAATTAATAGCTGTATCTACTGATATAAGTCATTCTGCTTTAATATTACGTGATATTTATCCACCAATTAAATTTACTCATTTACGTATTTCTATAGTTGGTCGATTAGATTGTCCATTCACTAAAGCACGTATTCATTTAGGTGCATATTTTGGACAAAATGGTATATGGGAACAATTTATACATCCTTTAATGAAAACAAATTCTAATAGTATTGATTTAATACAATATTTAGAAAGTATTGTATTAGATAAAACAATGAAATATATTTCAATTCAACAATGTTTAATGAATACATTAGACCAATTTGATAAGAATAAAAAAATGTAAGTTTTTTTTTTACAATTCAATTACTTCATTGATAAATAAAGATAATAAATGGGATTAGATATTATGAAATAAAACTGAATATACATTGTATACTATTTAGAAAAGGAGAAAAAATATCTGATGCGAGTCATCATTTATTATTTCTATGGTGAAGTGAATGAACCTTGGTCGATAGCATTCGATCTGCACTAAGAAGGATTTGACACACATGACATTGATCACTACCCAGTGATCAATCAATTGTGAATACATCTCAGTCCTACAGGAGGTCGATCGCGGCCCGGATAGCCCAGTGGTAACGTCTCTGACTTTGAAGCTGGGTGATACAAGATCGAATCCGTCAGGGAGAACCAGTTCTCTCAAGATTACAAGTACACCTTGCTGACGAGTGCCAAGTGGTACGAAACCCAAATCCAGGGTTTCCTGTTGACTACCTGCAACCACCATTCTATCTGAACCTTGTTTCTGATGTATTTGTAAATATGTTTGTATTGGAGTTAGTCATATGAACAAACTAGAAAAAAAGTAGGTTTCTACAGATTGTGTAATAAATGAAATTCAGAACTCACATTTCATCTTATTTTGTGCTCATCAGGTGGGTGTACTTTCTACATTCTAGTGTTAATGTTCACACTGAGACTCGAACTTTTGTAACTTGCAGTTCAAAAACCAAATGAGTTATCTGGACAATAAGCTATTAAGCCAAGAAATCCACTAAAATGTCCCATATATATGATCGTATTATTACTAATAGTGATAGTAGTAGTATTGAAAAATAAAATGCTTATGTTACATAATAATCTTGTGCTGTTTTATGTGATTGATAAAAATTGTTGATTTACATCTGTTTCTTGCCATTTTCAAACATTTTTAAAAACTTCATTGTACGTTTTCGTTCCGTAATTTGAATTTATCTAATATATTAGTTCATCGTAAATTGTATTCAACCACGTCTTTATAAATTAGTCACTCACTAATGACATTGCAGGATGGTTGGACGGATTAGACGAAGTTGGACATATAAACCATTGAATTTTGGTTTATTAGTCTAATGGTCAAGTGCTCACATTGATACCTGAAAGTTCTAGGTTCGATCGCTGGTTGGGTCGTGACTGTGCACTGCCGAGGAGTCCCGTAGTGGGACGAAGTAGCTGTCCAGTGCTTCTTAATTTAACTACGCGTAGTATGTTTTTAAAACTGTAAATCTTACCTTTGGAGGAGCGTGTAAAGAGCTATACTTGCTCCATTTGCATTGTAATCTGACTGAACTTCGTATAAACCGTACATTTAAAAAAAGTTAAGTAAAAATCTATTCTTCAAATGAATAAAGCATTTAATTTTGAACCAGGAGGTTCCGATTTTCAACATAGATATACGTAGATTTAGGTTGAAACTGTTGAAGATTACTAATAAACCTTCAATAATGAAAGTATATTCAAAAAGCGGTGTATAAACCCATACTTTATTCTGCGTTTCATCTATAATAATAATGTAGTTGTCAGTGTTTGTTTTTTCAAATTCGTAATATTTGAGACTGTTATTGATCAGTCTCCATTAAAACATGCACATTTTGAGTACATATTGTCATTTAGTCTTAATTAAGATAAATTGTACGATAAGTTGCAAGCTCATGACATAACAGCTAGTCAATACTCTCGGGTTGTTTTCAATCAATTCTCCGGGTAATGTGGAACAGTTTGTGATGTGAATTCTCTCATTCTCCTTTCAAATTGAATTAATATCTGTATGCAATCCAACCTGGATACAGCGTTTATTCTAGTCTTTCTGATGGGACTGGGTTCTCCCTTTGTTATATTAAGCAAGTTCGGGATTTAACCACCACTACTACTACTGGTACAATATCGTAATCTCCTGTTCATCTTCTTTATGACTCTGTTAAGTATGTTTATCTTCCTTTTTTCATTTATTTTTGTGTGTATAGATCCAGTATATCATTAGATAGTGATAATATTCAAATATCATCACTATATAAACAATGCTATAATTTACAATATCAATTGAATTGGATAGATCGTACATTGAATCGTTTAAGAAAAATATATCATCCTGAAAAATTGCGTGAATATAAAAGTCGAATTCATCAAATGGTTTGTCAATTATTAACCCTTATTATTATGTAATTGTTACTACTACTTTTTTTCTGTCTTACATAAAATAATTGATCAACTTAGTTTCTTGGACAGATAATGATTATGGTTATCAGACTGATAAATGAACTCTTATCAAGACTGTTTTCCTGTTCAGAACTGAATACATCACAGATAGCAGAGTCACTGTTCAGTTAATTTGATAGATGTTGTAATGAATTAGTTCTGTCATTGAATTATTGAATAATTAATCAGGATCATGTTTGAAGCATTCAACTATTCCTCGAGGTCTTTTAAAGCTAAGAAAAGGGCTGAAAATACTGTTCATTTAGCGTTCACTGGAAACTGTAAATAAATCAAGAAAATCAATGAATTATGTATCAACTCTTCACGGGATAAGTACCGATTTTTGTTTACTGAACTTAACATATTTCCAGAAACTTCAAAGATATCAAAGTTACCCATAGACCTACGAATGTTCTTGTTCTTGCATCTAAAGTAACCTTGGAAGTAAATCTTCTTTATATACTCCCCACGTTTTGTTTTTCGTTCGGATTTAAAGTTTAAGAGATTTCTTGGGAACCAGGGAGAAGTTAAAATGCCAGTATTAGACGTTCGAGTTCGAAATCGCTGGTACTTTACAGTTTTTAACTATCCAATAGAATTAATTTTTAAAAAAATAACGCGACCATACAAACTCTGCAATTACTTACTTTCTATTAAATATCACACGGTAATCTGTTGTACGCGCTCATGTCGATTTATCCCAGATGGTGGTGGCGGAGTAGTTAAAGCGTCTAATTTTTAACTACCAATTCCTGGCTTCCAACCGCTCTCCACTCACTTTGATTTGACAGCTGGATCGTACAATGAACCTTTACACTTGAAATGTGAATCAAACCGAAGTTAATTGAATTTAAACTTACGTTACAGATTCTTCGAAGTCGTATTCCAGATAAATTAGGTTTTAAAAATCCTTATGAAAACAACTTTTGCTCTTAGTCAAAAATGCCTACTTCGACGTCTCATTCTGGTTGGTTCGAAGGTAGGTTGAAAAAAGGTTACATCGACTGAACCATGATGTGGCACAAATCCATGAAGTCAATGACTGTCATTCTGAGGCATTCTGGCATGTAAAAACTACCAACTGGTTGAAATTTTGCTGGTCAGTAGATTAGAGACCTTTGATAACATGGATCAAGACCGATTATATTGTCAAGGGTGTGTATTTTGTTTATCTTCTCTTATATCTTGATTTTCATACTTTTCTTTCCCTGAGTACATTGCCTTTTGATCCTCATCTTCTATGTTCAGTCTTCGTCATCATCATTTACACTACTGTTTTTGATCAGTCTCTTCTTGCCATATATGAATCCTGTGCGGATTACCTCGGTATTGGCGTTAGTTAACAAACTTTATAAGCAGAGTTGGATAATGGCTAGCAGTGAAGTCCAGCTGATGAGTGGAAAATTGAACGAAACGCGCACAGTAGATTCCATTACTAGCCACCATTCATCTCTGTCTTTAAGTTTTTTTTCGTTAACGATATTTTTTTCTATACATATACTTCTCAATTTTGTTTAATTTTAGTCTAATGAACAGATAAGAATGAATTTGTATCCAGATAAAGTGAAGTATATTTTGGAACATTGTTTACTGTGTTTGTTAAGTCATGCAAATGAAATCTGGTCAGTGATAGAACCCCTTTCATTATTATCCCCATCAACAGGAGTTTCACTATTAGACGATGATGATTACACCTTTTTAAATTATGTTGATAAGTGTTGTACAACATTTTTAAATGATATGCTTATTCATGGTAGTCGTTCAATGCAAGTAAGTTATGTTTCTTTTTTTGTTTGTTTTTTTCTTAATAAAAAAGACTGTCTATTTTTGTAAGTCTCTATTTTGATAACATATATTTTAATTTAGATTTTCATAGATGGTTATCATTTTTCATTGTTGTTTGTCTCTAATCTATAAGTGTTCCGGTGTGGTAACTTCAGATTAATGATTAACCAAACTACTTTGATTTTCATGATGTCCTAGTTTTCCTAGCCGTGTAACTGTCGAAAAATATTTCAGTACAACGATTATAATAATCTTAATAGATTTTACCAATTCTAGGCACTTTATGACCAGAAAATGTTGTCTATCTTCCACAATTTACAATATGGATTAATCATAGTTAGACTCTGGATAGCTGTTTATTCATTGTTAGTATTTCGTCATTTACGCTCTGGTGATTAGGACATGTGTCACCGATTCTCATCCATTGCCATCTTCCACGTAAAATTACTGTTAGGGATAGGAAAAGAAAAAGGCTAGATGTGGCTAAATCAAAACTAGGGAATAATTCATGAAGTTACTGATTATTAGTTTGAACTGTTTCAGTAGGTGGAATATATCTGATTAATGTCTACAAAATAATTGTCATTTACGGTTAAAGACATCAGTTAACATAATTCTAAATCTATTTGAATTGAGTACATGGATTCATTGCTTTATCTTCTATTGAATCTTTATTAAATCTGTTTTATCGGAACTAAAAGTAAAATTCATGATGAACATTTTTTCTTATTTGGAAATTATCAACTAAATTTCATACTGCTGAGTCTCAGTTTTGGTGTTCATTTTAATACTCTCTTCAAATGTCAACCTCTTGCACACAACTAAGCTACTAGATCCAGTTGACAATTGAGTTTTTTTAGTATGAATGATATTTCTTCTTCATTGACGTTTTAATTTTTCCCATATGTTAATACTTAGGATTAATTATTATAGATTACAGCCAGTACTTGAGTTAAAATATGTTACTCTATACCTTTTATTCAAGAATTGAGATGATTCTGCAAAGAATTTTCTTTCCAACTATATCGTTCACTCAAGCTGTACAATCCTATTTATGCAGAGATGGATAGTGGCTAGCAGTGGAATCCAGGACGCGCGTTTCGTCCTGTTTGGGACTCGTCAGCTGGATGTACCTGCATCTCAGAGTTGATGTTCACTCTGGGACTCGAACTCAGTACCGTTCACTTCAAACGCCATCGCGTTATCCACTTAGCTACTGAGTCCGGAAACGCGCTTCCTGGATTCCACTGCTAGCCACTATCCATCTCTGCTTGTAATGCTTGTAAATTAAGGCAATATCGAGGCGTACGCACAGTATGTACATATGCCAATAAGAGACTGATCAACTTCAGTCCTAAAACATCAATGGGAAGATTCAAATAAAACAATATCAAGTGAATCCTATTTATGGTTAATTTACAAATAAAATAGTCTATTGAAGAATAAGAGCACAATTTCTTTATATCATGTGTTAAAGACAATTGTTTAATAATCGAGAATTGATGAGAAATAATAAGATGAAATCAAATGTGATAATAAGAAGGATGGAGAATAAATTAAAAACTTGAAAGTGATAATAAAGAATAATTAGAATTAAGAAGACTAAAGCATATTAAGTGAATATCATAAAATCATGTTACCATTTATGAAAATTTAAGTGTTAGGGTCATAAAAGAATAATGGCTTGCACGTATCATTTTTGCACCTAAAGCTTAAGCCTAAAGAGTAGGATTACTAGCCTCCGTCCAGTGCATAAGTTGTCTATTTATATTTTTTTGGATCAAATCATTCGACTGGCTCTTTATTTTCATTGGTTTTCATTTACTTTCCTTAAAATTGCAGATTCTATTATTATTTTAAATTCTCTGTTGATTTCATTTCTTTATGTGGATGAAATTTTTGAAGGACTTCACTCTGTGTACATTTACCTCATCTTTAACATTGTTCATGGCTGTTAGATAGGTGTTCATCAACAAGAACGTTGGGTTCCGCATGTTCAAATCTCACACGAGAGCATTGTTTCCCAAAAAAATTCCAGGTATGGCTAGGTGACAAGTACCGACTAACACTGTCTGTAACCACATAACATCTTAACCTAGTGCACTCAATAGCATGTCATTTAGTTTAGTGACATGACATTACTCACTAATTCAGTGACTCATGAATTGTAAATTATTCATGACTAGCTGACTGACTAGATATTTTTTGTTAATCTGGAACACGCTACTGATATATATATTAGCCTCCTAGGTTATTTTATACATATATTTTGTCTTGGTCAATTTTATTGTAAGTTTCTATATTAAAATTGATTATTTTATATGTATGTATGTGTTTTCTATGAACAGATTCTTACCGTTGGATTAATGCCAGTATTTATGAAAATCAATTCAATTATTTTACCAATTCATCATACTGAACATAATTATCTTTATAAATTCATTAATGAATTTTCTACATTGAAATATAATTTACAAATTACATGTATTAATGAATCTAGACAACAATTATTATTTTGGGCTATATTACAACGTTTAATCCATTTTGGAATGTCTAATTATTTATTTGATTGTTCTGTATACATTCTTCATGATCTATGGAATTCCATAGATAAGGATTCATTGAATATGGAATTATTTCATAATATTTTAATCATTATTGATACAATAATAGAAAATAATTATTCATCTCTTCTTACTGTTCATAAATCATTACATAATTTTTTAACAATATTTAATATGCATCAATTATCCTATAATGGTCATATAAATATAAATGGTTTATTAAAATGGCATTATTTTCATCAATTATATAATAATGATAGATGTAATACTATATATCCTTATTGTCAAACAATAAATACTAAAATAACTGATGGTATTTATAAATATAATTTATTATCACAATATCAATTATGTATTATTTCATTTTATCGATGGTATTTAGAACATTTAACTAATCTATCAACTCAATATGCAGGTATATTTTGTTGATTGTTTTTTTCTTTCTTTCTTTGTTTTATATCAAATCAATAATATTTTTTCAATTTAATTGTTTTTATTATTAGAAGGGGTTTTATGGAGATTGTAATAAAATCAATAATTGAGATTATGAGTTAATTGAAGCTAGATTATCATAGGAAACCTGGAAGTACTGGATGACCGTTTCTATAGTGGTCTAGCTTCAATTGCTTCATGATTTCAACTATTGAAATTATTACAATCACCACAAAACCCCTTCTGATATTAATCAACATATGCTCACTAATGACTGACTTCAAGAAGTATATTCTGGAGTTCTAGTGAGAAGCAGTGACCAGTGGAGTTCAACGGCGTCGGTTGTGAGATAGTAACTCACTGAAGACAATGGTGGATGTGTAGCTCGATTTCGTGGATTAGTTGAAGTTAGACATTAAAACCGTCGGATCCCAGCCGTTTCAGTGGTCTAGTGGTTACGTGCTCACACGCGAGACTGATAGGTCCTGGGTTCAAATTTCGCGGGGTACGGGGTCGTGGATGCGCAGTGCTGAGGAGTCCCACAATAGGACGAAATGGCCGTCCAGTGCTTCTACGTTTTCCATGGTTATCTAGCCTCAATTGACTCATGATCTGAACTATTGAAATTAATTGTTTATTTTAATCAATTTGTTTACCAAATACAATTAGGTTTGTGTACTTTGCTTTATACTACATATTTATTAGTGATATTATTATTCTGTTGTTTGATTTGTTATAACACGAGCAGGATTCAAACTTGAGAATAAGTGTTTATATAGATGATGACAATTGACAGAAGGAATGTATATTTATCAATTATCCATTTGAATCGTTCAATGTGTTCTATAATCTGAACAATTTTCTCGTCTGATCTTTAAATGTTCTATCCACTTCGTACTTTCACTTGACTGATCTCTCCGTCTGATGACTGTTTCAGTTTCGACGCCACATTGGGCTATATACTACTTACAAGCAATTTTTATGAGTAGGGTTCACTACAGTTGAAAGTCGAACCACCATTCTGGGTTTTTTTTCAATAATAACGAGCAAATTTCTTTTCAATATGTTTGAATATTTTCTAAATATGCATAAATTTCTTTGCAAGTTTATTTAGTAATTTCTATCCTTATTCAAATTAATCAATTATTTTTATTCTGTACGGTGGAAAATGTATTCACATTGAATTTCATGCATAAATAAGGCATAAGAATCTTGTTACAATTCACCTTAAATAATACATGCTTGAACATTTTTAGTTAATTTAAACATTTAGTGGTACTGCTTTAATGATTAGTAACTGTTCACATGGTTCTTAATATAAGGTAGATTGGTATTTTTAAATAATCGACACCCTTAGACTTTTAATCAGTTAGTTACAGCTGTAAATCTCTATTCATTGATTTTTTTTAAAAACCCTGATTGGTACCACTTGTTGTGATGAACAATAAACGTGTTGGAAATCCATGTTTAACTTCATGAGTGAATAGGAGCTTTGTAAAAAAATATCTGTTATAATCACTAGGTCTCTGCAAGCTCCACACAAATACTTGAGAGATACAGGTTACTCTGATGAACTGCAAGCGTGATGACAAATATATGTTCTTTAGTAAGTAAGCTTTATAAAATTGTTGTAACAACTGAGAAACCTGTTATTCGAAATATGTTGTCTAATTGGAAGAAGCAGTAGTATCTGCTCACTATCGGAAGTTCTGAGCCACTAGCAGAATGAAATCTGATGTCACTGGTACAAACTATGAAGTTTATAGGACGCGAATCAACAAGATTCTACGGCGTCTCGAATAGTGGATTGAGTTCTTGGGGCAACAGGTCGGCTGATTTGCTGTTTCAGTAACATAAATCAGACTATCTCTTCCTCCGTAGTTAGTAAGGAATGATCCACCTTACGAGGCTCGCGAAGCGCTTTAATTTGCAGGACTAACTGACTTATTCGTTACTCTTCTTAAGGAAGTTAATGAACTCCCAGCCAGGGAGATTAAGTGGGTTGTTTAGAAAAGCTTTTGGGAACCGTGTGTTTCAACTTTTTGAAATGAAGCGACTGTCATCCATATCTTTATAAAAAACCTTATGTCATCCATTCACTAATTATCGACGGGTAAGTCTGCTCTTTATTGAGTCGAAACTATTGGATTTCATCATGGTTAGCAGATTATGCAGAACCCGTGAAAGACTGGCTCGATAACAGTAGGTACTAAGTCATTCGACAATTAGTGTCCGTAAAGTATGGAGTACACTTTGCACCGAAGCGTAAAATACTTTCACAGGACTGCCAGGAGCCTATACTCATACACATTTTATGGTGAACCCTTTGTAGTAGTTGAAAGTTCGTGTATCTCAGTAGTTATGTGAGTGCGGGCGGCAGGGTGAATGATGCGATCAGCATTAATCTGGTGAAAGCCGAAAGAAGTTATGGCGATCTGGGATATATGCGGCACCATTGTGATATAAGTATGGCTGTGAAACGTCAAATCTACAACGCGTTGATGAGACCAATCGTGATCTATCCTTGCGAAACCTGAGCTCTTCAATTAGAAGATGTTAGATGACTCCGTATTCGGTCATCATTGTCTCCTAACATTAATTGGAAACACCGTGTTAGTAATGCTGATAATTGAGAATTTTTGCGTTCAGTGATGATAACTCGATCAATGTCAGTACCTTTGTTAGCGTATAAATGTATTACGAATGTCATCCTACCGAATTCTATCTCGTCCATTAATTGATGACACTGTCAGTAAATGGAAATATTCAAGGGGTGGTTAATTCTTGAGATCGAAGGAAGTATTTCTGGCTGTAATTTTAATGAAATCCTAATCGGAACTATATCTAAATAAAATTTCTTAGGAACTCAACAATACTATGTATTAATCCTTAGTTCAATAATTGCATGCACCATACATTTAACTAATTTCGTTGTCATCCCAATACTTTACATTTTCAACTTCAATTGATTCTATTTAGAGTAAAATAAATATCATTGATGGCACTCAGTCTTTATCACACGGTATGATGAATCGACTGAAGTTAGGAATATAAGATAGTAGGTACCGACTCAGAAAGTTTTATGTTCGGTGTCTGGCAATGCTCCGAGTACAAATGCCGGTAAGTCTGTCTTAAGACTCAACTTCTGTCTAAATACTCTCCGATTTTCAAGTGATTTCATTTGATGATGCGATTTATTTTCGAACTTGATATTATATTAATTTCGAACAATCAATAAACAGATAGTCAATATCGACCATTGTAAAGTCTGACATAGATGTGCTTCAGTCTAGGTTATCTTGTCAAATTGACACAGTGAGATAGATATTAACCACGGAGTGAATAACAAATACATATCAGTTGTATCATTGTTTGTAAGGAAAAAGATCAAGATTATGCTTCGGAAAGTATCACTTAACAGACTGTAAGCATGAATGAATCTTATAAATTTAAAATCAAATGAAAAGATACAATGTGAATAGATTTTCGCTCCTGCGACCATCTGTAAACTATGTTAACCAACATCATGATCTGTTCCTCGGAGTTATTGATTATGAACGCTTTTTAAATATTTCATATTTTATGATTTCAGCTAATCGTGATTATCATCGCCAAATTATTCAGAAAGATTTATTCCCATTGGGAGCATTGTTTGTTCGACGAAATATTGATTCACAGACATCAGTATTAATGCGACGTGTGAGTTTTCTATTTTTAAAGAAAAATGTTAGTAAATTATTTCTATGAATGTTATCGAAGTAGAGCTATCAAGCTCAATGAATGTTAACACATTTTAATTTTGTCTGTCATATCCTCTCTAATACATGTCCAACATAAAAAGACAACATTATGAAAAGTAATATTTGATAAATATAGAGACAATGAGTGTTGCGAACTTTCTATTATCACGGAATTTTTGTTCAACATTTAAACTCAATATTCTTTTTTTAAACACAGGTAAAGCGTCTCAATTTGTTATTTTCTTACCACTGTCCTTACACTTATTGAAGGTTTCTAGAATTAATATTAGAAAGTTTTGTAGATATTATAGTAATTTTAATAGTTGAGATCATGAGTCAATTGAAGCTAGACCACCATGGAGTTCTAGTGAGAAGCAGTGACCAGTGGAGTTCAACCGGGTCTGTTGTGAAATAGTAACTCACTGAAGACAATGGTAGATGTGTCGCTCGATTTCGTGGATTAATTGAAGTTGGTTAAGCGCTCGCGCGCGAGACTGATAGATCCTGGGTTCGAATGTAGCGAGGCGGGGTCGTGGGTGGACACTGCTGAGGCGTCCCATACTAAGACGAAGCATCCGTCCAATGCCTCCAGGTTTTCTATAGTTGTCTAGCTTCGTTTGACCCATGATCTCAACTATCAAAAGTTTCATAGACTTGTTAATTGATTTATACGGTGTACTAAGAAACAAATATTACATGCAACTATCAAATGTTTATCAATTATAGAAAATTGTAATCATTAAACTGTTGCTAAGTTCTGATACTAATTGTGAATTTTTTCGGATTTTTTCATTTAAATAAATTATTAATAATAGTTCGGTGACCCTATCAAAGACCTAAATCAGAACCTTCAGCTCACAGTGAGCACTTAGCTGGTACACAAAAGCGTACATCTTCAACTTTGATCAATTCATGATATTGCGCAGTTATGTTCTATTGAATGTATTGGTAACTGCTTCTTTAATGACATGGTTCAGTGGTCTGAAGGCTAAACGGTCATCGCGAGATCAAAGGTCCTGCGTCTAATCCACGATGAAGCCATGTATTCATATTACCGATGAGTCCTATACTAGAGCAAAACAACTGTCCAACACTTCTTGCTTTTCAGTGGTTGTCTAACTAAATTACTTCGTGATTGGAAACGTGAAAAATTCAATAATCCCTTCAAACTTTCTACACTATTATTAGATAATTTGTTGAATAAATTTTAAAAAATTCTGAATAATTCATATTTAGTATCATTACTTAGCCATCAGTTTAATTAATACAATTTTCTATAATTGATACACATTTGATAGTCTTGTGAAATATTTTTTGATGTTTATTGTAATGTGACTATGGTTGTTTGTAAATCTTAAATGTTAACTAGTTCAACTTGTTGTATTAGTTCGTTTTTCTGAACGAACTTTCTAAGTTAAAGTACATGAAATAGAGTGCATAATCTGTAGAACTCAGTATTTAATATCTCCGTTCATTGATCTAGCTAAAACTGATTCGAATATCACGTGAAGCCCCTAGTTGCTACAAGATTTCAAGTGAACATTGTTAACGAATGTCAGTTGGCTCAATATCTATATTGAACGGCAGCATTCAAACAATTATAAGAGGAGTCCTATCGAGATAACCTACAAACACCTAATACGTAAAAAGAGTGATGTAATTCTTGTCAAATTTACTTACTAAAAAGTATGCTGAATATAATTAAAATATGAGAAGATTCCTTTCAGAAGAGTTCTTTGATCTCCCTGTATTGTTTACTGCAAAAAATGAAAGCTCTGTTGAAATAGTCTTTTCATTTACTGTGTGTAATGATTTGGAAAATGTATACATCTTAAGTTATATCTTGTACAGGTATCTGTTGATCAGTATTCTGTGTGCGTAATTTTTATAACATGTATAACATTTATGGCGTAGGCGAGATATCCGTCTATCAACCAAAGGACGGGTTTACTGTGCAGCAGTACGTCCCGTCCTACTTTATGGCAGTGAAACATGGCCGGTAAGAGTAGAGGATATTCGTAGGTTACTAGTATTTGATCACAGATGTCTTCGAAACATTGCTCGTATATCATGGGACCATCGAGTAAGTAACACAGTTGTTAGGAAACGGGTACTAGGTAAGGATGGCAAATCAATTGATAAAGTAGTGAAACTTCATCAGTTGAGATGGCTGGGACACGTGTTACGTATGCCCAACGACCGACTGCCTCGACGTGCGATGTTCAGTGGTATAGGAGTAGATTGGAAGAAAGCTAGGGGCGGCCAGACCAAAACATGTCACAAGTCCATGAAGTCACTGACAAGTGGTCTGAGTAATGTTGATAGGTATAGACTACCTGGTTGGGGACCGCGAGATGATAGCAACCGATGGTTAGAGACCCTGAATGACATGGCTCAAAATCGTTTGCAATGGCGCAGGTGCATCCACTCTTTGCGTTCTCCCGAATTGTAATCTTCTGAATTCTTCATGTCCCTTTTTTCCTCTTTCCAAATTTATTTCACTGAATTATACTCTTTAAATAACATCTCCAAACCCTAATCTTCCCGATCACTGCTTACACTTTTGCTACCTCTACCACTACGGGATTTGAATCGACAACTGCATCTCTGTGTTAAAGTGGTGTGGCAACTCGAACTGATATACATACGTACGAAGTTCTACGTTGTTACTGACTGACTGAATTTTTATAACATGTTCAATTTCATATCCTGTGATGTCCTATGACCAGTCAAATATCACGTGACAGATTCGTTAATCCGAATACTGAATTCTATTGACCATGTCCCTGTGCCAAAACAATGACGTCTTAAAACAGCACTAGCATCTTTGACTCAAGTCTGAGTCCCTATTGGTCCTCTGTATAGTTACTTGTCACCTAACCCATTCCGTTCAGTCCAGAACAAAAATATTAACCTCCGCCATATGAGTCGTATATTTCAGATATACATAGTTTAGATACAAGCAGACCGGACCACATCACACCATAAAATGAGAAATAATAATTATATAAGTTCAAGCCAAAAGTATATGTGAGTGTGGCATACCGTAACTGATAAATTGGGAATAAATGAAGAATAGTTAATCGTATACTGGTAGCTGATTGGTCAAATGGAAGTTTATGAATAAAAAAATATGAATATAATCTAGTTACTTAATAATTATCCAATAAGAATATATGTAATAATAGTTCATAAATAATTCCTTGCAATTACCATCCGTTTATTCTTCGTTCGGGTATAACTCATCGTCTATGTATTATCTGTTCATCGTGATAAGTAATATATTGCTTTTTCATCTATAGTTTCATGTATAAACCCTGATTCTATTTTCCAAATAAGAGTAAATGTTCTTTTTTTTGCAGAAAACTGGATTTTCAGTTATTTGCACATATCAGTACTTCATTTTCTTTATATCTTCCTATTATTTTCTAGTGTATCCCAGAAGGTATTCAACAAACCAATACCTATCCTAGCAAATCTTTTATTCCTCTGGAAACCTATCAAATTCCTCAACAACGATTTCTCTGTATATTTGGTGATGATGAGTCTTCCACCGAAAATTCTTTAATCCAACTATTACAGATTTTAACCGATGTTACATTAAAATTTTTAAATAATCTATTAAATTTATCATCTGTGGATAATGGCTCTACAATGTCAAGAGAGTCAATTTTATTTCAGAATTGCTTTGTTGTCTGTCGTCTACTTGGTCGTATCTGTTGGCATCTTTCAGGTGATCGAATTCGTCAATATTTCATTCCTGATGGAAATATTTACGAATCTGCACTTTTTAAATTCCTAACTAACTTTTGTCAACGTCTTGGTGATCAATCGTCTCTTTTGAATGATATGATTATTGAATGTTTATGCCTTACTCTTAATAGCGAATGCATTCCTGATTGTCCACAGACCATAAAAACAGATAACTATGGAAATATTGAAAGGTATAAAATGTTAACATTGTGATTTTCAATTCCTTAGTTTTGCTAATTGTAATTGTAGTATTTATGTAAAGAGAACTGGATTACAATAATCATATACGAAACTCGAAACTGCTTAGAAATTAAATGTCGTGATCCAAATTGATTTTTCATAGAATATATCGACTAGAGTTTTTATGACTTCATTTTGTCTAATTATCGGACAGACTATCAGTTCACACCATTTACATTTACAATATTTCTTTTCAATGTTATTTATTATTTATTTGTTTTAACACATAGATATTGGTACAAAGAGGCACCAAATACATGTGCGCCACACAAATCTCTTTTCATATGTGTGAGGGTTGTGATACTGCCCGGGTGCCCAAACCGAAGCATGTAGTTTTCTTAGGGGGCCACTCCCCGAGCCTTCGACCTGAAGGTCTGATCCACAAGGCAGTGGAGCATCGTAAGGAGATGTAGTCCCATGGTAACCAGTGACCAATAATTGGTTCATACACTGTTTGTTCCTTCAGGATACTGGAGCCCATGTGCACCATTGATCTGGAATCCGGTTAAAGCGCCGGACATTCGTTTTTCGTCCTTTCATTTTCGTAAACAACAGTAATGCCACGAGAATGCAGTGAGTTGGACTTCCCTGGCAGAGGCTATATACGCATGGCCATGTAAGAGCATTTGTAGAGGGAGAGTGGACTCTCGACCATACCAGGGCATTTGGAGGCTTTTAATGTTATGCCTTTAATATTCTTCTCTATTTATTTCTTTTTCGCTTCTTTTTAGTATTGATCTTCATAAATCTCAAAATAAATCATGGCCTTATCCAAACAATTCTGTGATAAATTATCATCTACAACAAACTACAGATTTATTATGGCACTTATTACCTAGCCAGTTATTGAACAGAGCACAGTCTATTTTACTGAATCCGTTTGATCAACATCACATTGATCATAATCATGCACAAAGAAACAGACTTAATTCATGTATAGCAACATCATCAAACAACAATGGTCATTTTGTATTATGTGAAATATTTTCTGAGTGTATCAATCTCATGTTGAAAGATGCTAAATCTATTGGTCAACTGAATAATAATAAGCAACAATCGGTTCATGACAATTTGTCTGGTCAACATCTATATCTTACAGATGTTTTGTACCTATTCTGTGGAATTGTTGGTGAACCAAATTTCAAGTAAGTTGAATTTTCTTATGTAGAAATAAGTTGTAAAACAGTTTAATGTAAGCGAGCCTTGGACATAATATAAATTTATAAAGTCGTCGATTGTTGGTATGATCCATATTAGTAAGTGTATACTACCTGATTGTTAAGTTCGCGAAATGTTCATAACTAATGAATCGGTGCTATTGTTCATAAGTACTTGAAATAGTTCAGATCCGTTTACTTATTTTCCTCCTTTCTTATATTTAAAAATTATTTTTCTGTCTTTATTCTCCCGACTTATTCTCTGTTCTCAAAAAATCTCTATCTAGTGTTTTTATTACCACTACTTTTTCTAGTCACCTTGATAATTTTTATCTCGATCTTGATGTGACGTCGATGCATATATATCCCGGTCCCTACGTTGCTAATTACTGACTGGTTGACATATATCCTTAATTCTTAACATATTTTCTTATTCACAGACCTTCAATTTAATTCGATTCAACACAGCATTGACTTATTCGTTAAAACAGGTTTTTTAGTTAAACTCACCTAAGACTGCTGTCAATAATCTTCATATAAACTATTTGGTTCAAATTCGAGCATATAAAACATTATGCCATTATAAACTAATTCGCTCCTCTCTTGTTCTTTTTTTTTACTTATAGACCCTGGAAACTTACTTCAAAGGATGAAACTTTTAAAAAATGCCAATGTTGTGTAAAGGCTAATCTTCAGATAAATATTCAGTTGGAAAGTTTACAAAATGTCTTAAAATTATTGGAAAACTTTGTTCAATCAATGAAAAAGACACAAACAACTGATCAACATTACCTATCTTCAAAATCTGTTGAATGTTTACGTAATTTTTATACATTATCTATTCATTTTTTGGCAATATCAGCTGAATCATCAGATCTACGATTGTACATATTAGAATCTTCAAGTTTTTCAATATTTCTAAACACTATACTTACAGATTATTCACTAAGAAATGGTATTAATCGTTCATGTACATTAGCTTTAGAAGTACTATTCACATGGTTTGCATATTCATCAGTGAAACTAATAAATTCTAATTGTCATCCATTTGATAAATTTTGTCTCGATCAATTAATTGGTTTGTTTCCAAAGGCAAATACTTCAACTCAGTAAGTTTTTAAAAATGACTTTGTTTGTTTGTTTCTTTTAGGTTAACAAAATTGTTTTAAAATATTCTTTTCAATACTTTCAATGAGTAATTTTTAATTGTATACTGAAGAAATAGATTATTCAACATGTTGATTAGTTTGTCCATCTGTTGGACAGATGTTTACTTCCCCCCGTTCCAAAGAACTGACATTATGGCTGAATGTTATTTAATATCAGGAGTAAAATCGTTTTTCTTACTCCAGGTTATAATTTCTTCTCTAATCCTGTACTACTACGTCTATGGTTTGGCATCTTAAGCTTGGCCAATGGTATGTATGAAACCAAAGTAATCTTGACTTCTATTAAATTATCGATAAATAATTCCGAAAGTCACTAGTTCTTCAGTATTCACTACGTCACAATTCAATAAAGTGGGTTTAAAAAAAACATTTTCCTGTTCCGTTAGACAGCTAGACTACATATGATAGTGTGGAACTTTTTTTAACCAGTTGCAACTAATTTGAATAAGACAGTTGAGAATTTACAAAATATACTACATTCGTATGAAGTAAGTCCATTTTTCTTATCTAACAAGGAGACAGCATGAAGATCTGAACACTCTCCTTTAGTTATTATTAATTAATAAGTATTCGTTCTTTCTTATCAGTAATAAATGACCAACCATAGTGTAGAAGGGATTGTTAACCACAATTATTCTTCGATGTTAGTGTAATCTCAAAGTAAAGCTTTTCTCCAGAATATTAATGATTATCATTAAAGTGTTTGGGGGTGTATTCATTTATTTATTTAAGCACATAAACATTGGTACAATAAAGCACTAAATATATATGCGCCACACTTTGTCATCCTATTTCTGTGAGGGTTGAAATACTGACCGGGTACCAAAGCCGAACTAGTTGGTTTTTAGCAGGGGCCACTCCAGGATCCTTTGACCTAAGGGTCTGGTTCACATGGCAGTAGAGCAACGTTAGGAGATTCAGTCCCATGGTAGCCGGTGACCGACAACAGGTTCATACGTCATTTATTCCCTCAGGATCCTGGAGCCAATGTGCACCAATGATTTAGATTCAGGGTTTTCCAACTTCAACCCGTTTAAAGTGCTAGACATTAGCTTTTCGTCCTCTCAACTTCGTTACGCAACACCCTCTCCACTAGAAGGCAGTGAATAGAACTTTCCTGGCAGTGGTTGTGCACGCGTGGCCATGTGAGATCATCTCGTGAGAGAGGGCAGACTCTCCTCACCTTCGACCGTACTCAGACATTTGGGAGTGTAAGAGTTGCTTGAATTCAGTGATCATTACGTATAACTACAGCCTAATTTATTGAAATTTAATATTTTCCCCATTTATAACTTTATATTATTGTGTTTTTCCTTTGTTATATTTATTTTACCCTTAAAAAATAGAATTATTGAAGGTCCATGTGATTTACAAGCCGTTCTTTTAACAGCTATATGTTCACGTATTAAATCATTCAATCAAGCAAACACTGTTGACAATGATAATAATGATTCTGATTCACTCCAACATGAAATTCAAACAACCATCACCACATGTTCCATGCATACAATATCAAATTTACCAATGGATTATCTACTTCAACTTGTACAAATTTTATTAAATTATCTATGTGGTCAACTTGTTGAGTTGAATCAACATTCATCAATGAATAATAATAATAATAATAATAATAATAATAATAATAATAATAATAATAATAATAATAGGGCTTATTTGTTATGTTTTTCATGTTATACTACTGTTGTCGATGAAGAATATGAATCATGTCATAAAAATTTCACCTTATGGTCCACACTAACTAGTAATCATATAAGACGAAAATTAATTAGTGATCCTTCTAAAAATATTGAACAAAATTCGAATGATCAATCTTCGACTAATACTACTACTACTACACCATTATCAAATTGTTCCTCATTATTTATTCGACAATTAACCTGTTGTTATTTATATGGTTTATGCTCTACAAGTGGAATGTATTCACAAATTCTATCTAATAAAACATACAATGATAAATGTTTAGCATTGATTCTTGGAAATCTTTGTAGAATTTTAACAGAAACTTTCAATAATCTACATGATAAATATAAAATAAAAGTATTTTTTATCAAAAATATTAAATTATTTTTATCTTCATTAAATTTTGCTCATATCAGTTCACCTATGAGTACAATGATTACATTATCTTGTATGATTAATGGTTGGAAAACATTGAAACATTTTACTCAGTTAATTATTAATCATTTTAAACCAGTTAGTATATGTGATTGGTTATTTTATTGTGTAATTATTGTTATGCAATCATTGGATTCTATGGATTCTTCGTCGTCGTCGTCGTCATCATCATCATCAATGGTAATGTCAAAATCTATAGTTACATTCAAAACATACTTGTTACAATCGCTTATATCTTCAATTCCTTTAAATTCATGCCCATTATTTCTATTATTATCTTTATGTATTGAATCTAATTTAAAATTACACAATAATAATGATAATGATCATGCAAATATTATTTTCAATACTTTTATAAATGATACTAATAATCAAAAATCTATTAGATCATCTTCATCTTCCATTATTTCTACATTATCTTCTTTTGATAATACAAAATTATATACAATCAATGCAAATGAATTAGGTCAAGCTTTATTACAACAATCATTACATTATAATATTCCATATTATCAACAATCATCTATATATAATTTTCAATATTTAACTAATTCATTACCAATTAGTTTATTTGGTCCAATTCATTTATTTAAACAATCTTCATTAGAATTTCATCAAAATATTACCAATTTCAATTATCCTTATCAACAACGTTTACAACAAAAACAATCAACTAATACTAGTTGTCAATGTATAAATTTACTTCAATTTAATCAACATAAACCTATGAAAATGAATTCTTCTTCTCAAAATCATACAATTAATGATAACAATGAAGAAATGTATTATACTTCAATGACAAATTATTATAAATCATTCATTGATTTTGCGCCTATATCTTTTATTTATTCTGATATATTAGATGAACAAATGACATCATTATGTCAAACATTGTCTATTATGAATAATCATAATGATAATTGTGAAAATATTATATTTCCATTATATTTAGGTTTTTCATCATATTCATTTGCACCGAAAATAATGTCTACATCAAATTTTCTAAATGATGTAAACGATTGTAATACTACTACTAATACTACTACTACTACTACTACTACTAATAATAATAATAATAATAATAATAATGACTATTCATCAAATGAAATTCCGGAAAATTTCAATTTGTCAGATTTTATTAAAACTAACTTTGTTTTTCATAATAATAAAGAATCATTACAGATTATTGTAAGATTTCCATTTTTAGTACAATTAGAATGTGTACAGTTGTCAGTGATGAATCCATTTCAATCAGGTAAAATTATTATTTTAATAGTTGAGATCATGAGTCAATTGAAGTTAGACCACTATAGAAAACCTGGAAGCATTGGACGGCCGCCTTGTGAGATTCGAACCGAAGATTGATCGGTCTGGCGCGTGAGTGTTTAACCATTAGATCACTGAGCTGGCATCCAACGGTGTTAATGTCTAACTTTAACTAATCCACGAAATTGAGCGACATTCATCTTTGTCTTCAGCTGAAGAGTCCTACAGTAGAACGAAACGGCCGTCCAGTACTTCCAGGTTTTCCACGGTGATCTAGCTTCAATTGACTCACGATCTCAACTGTTAAAATTACTATATTATGCACAAAACGCCTTTTGATAAAGATCATTATTGTGTATTTATCAGAATATTATTATGATTGAAAGGTGGTTGTGTATTATAATGAATTTCTTGAGGTTAGACATGGAAACTACTGGATATTGGCTTGGTGGTAATAATAATGACTATTCATCAAATGAAATTCCGGAAAATTTCAATTTGTCAGATTTTATTAAAACTAACTTTGTTTTTCATAATAATAAAGAATCATTACAGATTATTGTAAGATTTCCATTTTTAGTACAATTAGAATGTGTACAGTTGTCAGTGATGAATCCATTTCAATCAGGTAAACTTATTATTTTAATAGTTGAGATCATGAGTCAATTGAAGTCAAACCACTATAGAAAACCTGGAAGCATTGGACGGCCGCTTTGCGAGATTCGAACCGAAGATTGATCGGTCTGGCGCGTGAGTGTTTAACCATTAGATCACTGAGCTGGCATCCAACGGTGTTAATGTCTAACTTTAACTAATCCACGAAATTGAGCGACATTCATCTTTGTCTTCTGCTGAAGAGTCCTACAGTAGAACGAAACAGCCGTCCAGGTTTTCCATGGTGATCTAGCTTCAATTGACTCACGATCTCAACTGTTAAAATTACTATATTATGCACAAAACGCCTTGTGATAAAGATCATTATTGTGTAGTTATCTGAATATTATTATGTTTGAAAGGTGGTTGTGTATTATAATGAAGTTCTTGAGGTTAGACATAGAAACTACTGGATATTGGCTTGGTGGTTTGGAGATTAAAAATTTACGAGCATATCCAAAGGCCCGGGGCTCAATTTTAGGTCGTGGGTTGCCACTACAGTCCCACCCGGTTTGAAAACCGGGTGATTTAAATAAGAGTAGTCTGTAATATGAATTATGAAATTTTAGTAGTATTGGCGAAAAATGTCCCACATACTGAATTCAAACTTATTTCTCTAGTTTTTCATATTTTTTTATTGTATGGGCTCATGTTTCTAACTGATTAAATTGAAATGTATGTATATTGTGAATTAATCTTATTACAAACAATCTTACAGAAAACTTCTATTTCTCTTAACGATTTTTCTCCTACAGCCAGTCATGTAACTATTGAGGTGGAACTATATCGCGATTTACCTGGTGGTTCTCGACGAACATTTATCAGTGCACATAAAAGTAACGAGTCATCATTGTCAAAACTTCATACGATCACTTTTCCACCACGGTTGGTATCACATGTTTTAATAAGACTGTATCATGCTCAGAATTACAATAAAACTCTTCGTGTGAACACTTTACGCTTATTAGGAAGACAAGCAAATGATAATAGGCTGTTGTTCACAGAAACTTGTCAAAATAGCTGCACAAATGCAAATAATTTAGCTGTTGAGAATTCGTTAAATAAAATCAGGTGAGTTGTTTACACGTTTGTTTGTTTCCTGCGATTATCAACCTCGTTTTTTTTTAAACAAAATAGTTTTTTAATAATTAAATCTGCAAATAATTCGCACCATAAACATGCTTCGGTTGAGAAACAATTGGACATCGGGTAGCATCGCTCAGCTGTTATTATCAGTTAAAAAGAAGCCTATCCAAGTCCCTATCAGTATCGAGTCCAGAACTTATTTACCCAGCTACAAATACACAATAACCTCAGAACACTGGTACTTAGTGATCCATATTTCGATAGTAAATCACTTTGGATTGTAATTGTTAAATGGTTTAGGGGAAATCGACAGAAAACTGTACTCGAACTTGGTTTCGTACTTGTATAGATTCATTAGTAAGGTGTATATACAGTCTTTAAGAAACTGGTTTGCTGAGTGTGGAATTTAAACCAGGGTCACCTAAGTTCACAGTCAGAGTTGTTATCACTAAGCTATTTGATACATTAGGTCTAGTGGCTACATCAAAACTTGACAGATTGAATTCGTTCAGCACTATTATTTTATTTATTTATTTTAACACAGATATTGGTACAAGGAGGCACCAAATACATATGCGCCACATAAATCTCTTTTCATATATGTGAGGGCTGTGATACTGCCCGGGTGCCCAGACCGAATCAGGGGGTTTTCTTAGGGGACCACACCCCGAGCCTTTGACCTTAAGGTCTGACCCACAAGGTAGTGGAGCATCGTAAGGAGATGCAGTTCCATGATAGCCAGTCACCAACGATTGGTTCATACGCCATTTGTTCCTTCAGGATACTGGAGCCCATGTGCATCATTGGTTTGGAATCAGGGTTTTCCAACTCCCTATGTGGACTCTCCATGTCCACCAACCCGGTTAAAGCGGCAGACATTCGCTTTTCGTCCTCTCAGTTTCGTAAACAGCACCCCCGCAACCAGAAGGCAATGAGTGAAACTTCCCTGGCAGAGGCTGTATGCGCGTGGCCGTGTGAGGGCATTTCGAAAGGGAGGGCGGGCCCACCCCACTCTCGTTCAGCACTACAGGATAAGACGAATATGACATTGATTATAGCTTAGTGATCAACTCATTTTAAATCTTTCCTTTGGAAAAAATCAAACCCATACTACCTTATGTGTATATATGCTTGTATTACTCATAAGGACAGATCAGTAATTGTTCATTCGGCTTTCAATTATAAATTCCCAGTTTAAAGACTCAACTATAATGAGTTAATTACAGTCTGCTTCTTAATCAACTTTCACACCTAATTTTAACTCAAATATTGGTTTATACTATTAAAAACGTTTTATTATTTTAGTCTAACTACAACAAATATATTGCCTCACATGAAATGTTATGTAAGTACTACTAATATCTGCAATTAGTATTAATTTATTGTCATGTTTTTACGTTCGATCACTTAATTACATTTTTTTAATCTTTCTCTCTTGTTTCTTTTTATTGACTTCTTCTCAGACCAATTGTTTTACTACATCTGTTACATAATGAAATGCTTTCACAATTATTACCAAATATATTCTATTCATATCAATTTATCAATTCATTATTACACTGTTTACATACTGTTAGTTCAGATAAAATATTATCAATGTGTACACGTCAATTAATACAAATGGTTGCCTGTCATAATCAAATTTTTGAAATGATCAGTCATATATACAATTTTACCAGTGATTGTTCATCTGATAATGAAAATACGATATTACAAAATGAATGGTTTTATTCACCTATCGGTTATATTAATGAAGCTGATATGTTTTGGAAATTATGTCCTTCATCAGCTGTATTGTGTGAACGTATTTTACTTGGATTATTGGTTAATACAGATAATGGTAGTAGAAATAGTCTTGCTAATTATATATTAACCAAATTACTAAATGATAATAACGACGATGACTTAACAATAAACTGTGAAGATATATCATTCACAAGTGTGTCGAAATCAAATCAGGGTTAGTTTGCATTTTTTCAGTTACACAAATAGGTATTGCTCTACTGTTATGCCAAGACACTACGTTGATCTTTTATGATGTTGTACAGGTGACGCCATTTCTAATTTTCTTAACAGCTTCTAATTAATCTGTTTAATGATCATAGACACACTGCATTTAGCTTTACCATCTAGGTTTCATACCAATCAATACTCATTGACATGAGATACCTGTAAGGTTGTAGGGATGAATGTTTCTTGTAGGGTTTATTTCTATGTCACGGTCAGAAATATAACACTGGATAATTCATACCGCTACTAATTTCCTTTTAGATTGAGATTTTTATACTAGTCAGTTATTGAATACTAACCAATATTATATCATCAGCTGCTTTTTGTCGATCGAATTTCATTTGAACTCAATTGTATTTACTTTCTCAAAATTATAGACATAACCGTGGTAATGAATACCAGCTACCGAGAAATGTAAAATTCAAAACTTCCTTTTAATTGTCTTTGGCTAACTAAGATCAGAGTAAATTTTGCAACGATATCAAGTCATAGTCCATGGATTGCGTTGCATTTAGATTAGCACTTTGGATCAAACAGCATAGCATTGTCTCGTACTTTGTGATGGATAAGTGTCAGCAGTAACATTTATCTTGTTATTTACAAATTAATTTCGTTCTCTTTAGTAATAAAATCATAAGTAGTGTATATTTCAAACATTTAAGTATATTACTTTTTTCACTGGAACCTCGTATTAATATTGCTACTTTTAAATAAATTAGCAGTTGCTTACATGTGATCACTAATCAATATCTACTCTTGTGTTACTAACATCTTCCAGGTTTACTACATTTAGATTAAATTCTACTTTAACTGATCATGTTTGCTTAGTTCATAGTATTGATCGAATCCTGTCGATCAATTTACCATATAATTACTAGTCGAAGCGACTCAAAATCACGTGTACTATATTGAAATGTTAGATGGTTGAAGGTGTAATCGGAAAGAAATCCTGGTATTGTGCTAGTTGTCGCTCGTCAGTAAGCTATTCCTACACTAATGTTGTTGGATCTTGTATTTAATTGGATAGAAGTTACCGTAAATAGGTTATTTTCTATTACCTTTCATTTTGTAGAATTACTTTCTGTTCCAGGTATTCAATTTTAATTTAGTATTATGTAAAATTAATCAGGACCTATATGCTTTCAGTAGAGATAATTACTTCATTAGTTATCTGGTATTAATAACTTTCACTCTTCTAAATACTACTCATCAATAATTGTGCTTAAATAACAACAAATGATTTTACATTATGCATTATTTTTAAAAATAAATTAGAAATTATATCTACATTCCTATATCAGCAATCAATCCTATTAACAATATTGACTTTTTGTAAATTCCGCCACAACCAGATATTTAAAAAAAAACGTGTCATACAAATGAAATGATAATGTTTTGAAGAAACAAAGAACGGATTGATAGTACAATTAATAGAGAATTGATTAAAAATGGTATTTATTTAGAGTAACATTTTTTTCTAAATATACAACTAAGACTTCTCCCTGTTAATAGGTTTGATATTACCTATTGATAGCTGAATCATCACTGGTTTTCATCCTGAGTCACTGATTTGTACTATCTCTATGATTCCAGATGAAGAATTTTAGTGAACTGACAGATTTCAGTCCTGTACACTTACCTTTTATATCATGTCTCCTCCAACCCTAGCGTCTGGAAGTAATATACAACGTACATGTTTAAGCCATTGAAGTCAGTGTTTTGAGATGATGATACTAATTGAATTATCAACACCCCGCTCCCCTCGAATAATCTTATTTAATGTCAGACTTACTAACTCTCTGTTGCCACCGGATGTCAGGTATTCTTCGGAGACGACAATGGTTAAATGTAAAGAGTCGTCGAACATTATTAACTCGAAGTGGTCAGGTTTTGTAGGCATAGAGGAGAACTATTTTCAACCACTCATTATAAATCCAATCTTTTGAAGTCAGACTAATCTCACGATAGTGTCTTAGTTGGCTCTTATTGATATATCTCATCATGTTCATCTAAATAACTACTATTAATCAACATTTCAAACTATATGTTACTTAATGATGTATTAATTCTTTTCTTTTGTATGCATGTGTATGTGCTTAAATTATGACTATCCAGTTATAGATAACGAATTCAATTCATCTTATTGGTATGGTCCATTAGCTTCATTAACATCTACACCAAATCAACGTTTATTTGCATGGTTATGTTTACATCAAGATGCTGGACAATCTACACGTATTGAACGAATCATTAATTGGTTAAGTCACTTCAATGAATCTATGATAAAACAAGATATTCTTTCTCATAATCGTCAATTATTGAATCATTGGTCTCAATTAATATTGATTTTTTCAAGTGTTTTATGGAGTTTAAGTGGTGTTACTACCACTACTACTACTACTACAGCAATAGAAATGAATCAATGTTCAAATTTATGGCAAAAATATGTGACAATTGATTTTATTAGGTATGATTTATTACAATTAAAATATAGATGAAAAAAGATTTCTTTGGACTAGTTTTTTTGTTTAAAAGTTTCAAGTGTTTTTCTTCGGTTTTTAAATAAAACCCTTTGAGTACTTCATTGAATGTATTTGGTGAAGTGTGGAAGTTTCGCTTCTTTTTTTTGGTTATTTCTTGTTGTTAATTCTAGGAATCATCAGTAAATATGATAAACTGATTAAACCATATAGTATATAAGGCAAGCTCACATAATATGTCAAAATTGGTTTGGTAAGTCAGATGACAGTAATGATTCGAACTTATTACTCTTTACTTCAAACTTCATTATCTTATTAATTAGTGTTCAAATCACCCCGTTGGTGATATAAGTATCATACCTGTGTGGGTACTCGGTTCTACTTTCACTGCTAAACATCAACACTGAGATATAGATAAATCCAGTTGAAAAGTTTCAAACAGAATGAAATGCGCTTCCTAAATTACACTGCTAATCATAATCGATTGATCAAAAAGATCTATTGAACTTGTTAGCTTAAAAAAATTGACACACTGAAGTTGAGTAAAGCCAATTCTTGGTGTTTCAAACCTCACTATACTGAGGATTTCAATAGTTTTGCTAATCTTCTCATGCAAACGCTCCGGCTTAAAAGCTCAGTAATACCAATCTGTGGTTAGTAAATGAGTTATAAATTTATAAACTTTAAATCCATACATATTATATAATGTGACATTATTCAATTCTCTCTCTCTCTACTTTTTGTTTTACTTTTTCAAAATATCTTTTTCAGTTCTATTTATGATTTATACATTTCAATTATAAAACATTATCAAATTGATCTATCTATGAATGATATTGATGATGATGATGATGATGATGATGATAAGGATAAGGATAATCCTAAGAACTTAATCATTGAAATTAAGCAATTTACTAAAGTACTAATCAATTTATTGTGTTCTTTATGTACAATTCAACCAAATGTCATTTCTATACTTTTATCAAAACTTTTCATAATTCCTATAACAAATTCATTATTTAATCAATATGATAAATTATTATTAAATAGTCAATTGAAAGTATTCAGTTCAATTTTATCATCAGATCATATTGTTTATTATATTTTCTCAATGAATAAATCAATCAATTCAACCGATTCATTTCTATCAGAAAATTTCTTTTATCATTGTTGTATATGGTTATCAAATTATTTCTCAATCATCAGAAATCATACTGAATCTTCTTCTGAATCTTCTTCCATTAGATCAATTCTTACTATTGATTCAATTCTTAGATATTTATATATTTTAAATTATTTTATGCAATCAAATCAATCTACAATATTACGAATTATTCTTGGACAATTAATTTGTGAACATTTATTTCCAAATGTATTTTCTTATTTTACTATGATATTATCATCATTAAATAATTTGTATAATAATCATTTCGGTTTAAATATTTATGAGATTCATCAACTTCAACAATCTATTATTACTTTGTATCAAACAGTTAAATTATCAATGCCATTTTCAAAATCATTTAAACAATTTAATTCATGTCAATTGAATTTAGAAAGTTCAAAGTTCAAAATGAATTGTTTAACTGATTGTTTAATTGAAACATTTAAAGAATCATTTATGAAACAGAGTGAGTATGGTTAAATCATGGTCATTGTCACATTGATAATCTTTTTATTCCTTTTTTTTCATTCAGTTTAAGTATTTATTTAGAATGTATGGTTTAATAGACGATATAAGGTTTATTGCATGGATTATATTATATTTTTCCCCTAGAGATTTATACTAATTATATGGTTAGTTCTGTCAAAAATGTTGCTCCCTTCTCTGTTATTTCCTTGACTGTGACTCCACAATGTATCTCACTGGCAATGGTTGATATTCCCCCGAATGCACTAAATGCTGATTGATAAGTTGGTTATATTTGTGGTCTCTCAATCTTCTCCCACGTTCTTCTGTTTATAAATGTTATGTCGGAAGCCGTATCTAGATGTAAGTGACCATTACATCCATTGATCTTCAGAGAAACATGTTTTCTACGGTTTTAGGAACCGGTCCTGTTAAGAGCTATTGTTACCTTGACTGTTTGCGTCTTGAACCTTTTAGAATATACTTTCGGTTATTGGCAACGTTTTCAGGTTTTACAATGACTTGTAGTGCAACGATGATTCTTAAACTGAAAAAAGTTTTTGTAATGTCAACCGCCACGTAACCAGCATAGACGATGATGGCTTACCTCTGTCATTACAATAATTTGGCGTGTTACGACCTTGCAAACTTTTCTCTCGACTGTGTTCATGTAATGAGGCTGGCTACCTTTCTCTACCGTGTCGTGTTTCAAATTCACTAATTTTCGGTGTTCGTTAGTTACCTCCTGGTAGATAATCGTGGAACAATGTTCGTGTTTGCTTAGGGTTCTCGTTCATATGTCAGCATCCTCGGTTAAATGCGGCCTACAGACAAATGTGAGGCATTTAAACTGGTCTTCTGTCATGGAAGATAACTTGAACCCCTAATATTCTCGGATCATAATTCCGGAATGTTTCACTCAGTCAGCTTTGGATCCTTTCGTTTTCTTCAAGCATTGGTAACGGATGTTAATAAGAGATTACTTTTCTCCAAAGATCTGAAACAAGGTTTTAATTACTTCACCAATACTTAAGTCCCGTGAGTTCTTTGAAAGAATGAAGATAATCTAGCGTTCATGTTCCGTCATTCTAAGTTTTCTTAAACGTATTGTGACTTTTGAAGAGTCGTCTAGTCTGCAACGATTAATATGGAACAGATCTTCATATTTCGTGAACCATTAGTCGAAAGTAACACCTGCTACATCATTGTCCGTCGGTGATCGGTTATCATGGAACTGCATCTTCTTACGATGCTCCATTGCCTTATGGATTAAACTCCTTAGGTCGAAGGCGCTGAGAGTGGCCTCCTAAGAAAACCACGAGCATCGGTTTGGGCACCCTAGCAGTATCATAGCCCTCACAAATATCGAATGAGATTTGTGTAGTACCTCCTTGTACCAATATCTATATGTTCAAATAATAATATTGATATATTTTTCTCTTTGAAATATGAAAACTTTCTTTATGTTACTTCACTTGGATTGGTGGTTTAATGCTTGAGATATTCGACTGTTGGACATTAATTCTTAGGTTCGAACCCCACTCCACACACCACTCTTTTGGAAGTCAGTTTCTATCATTACCCCTTACATTTTGAGTGTGGCTAATACTTTATTACCTGGTGAATGAGTTAATTTGATTTTTAAAATCTATTTTTATTGTAGATTTCAAACTATCCAACTTTATATCTGAACTATTATTGGCACAACCTTTATCATTAACACCTGTACCATTTAAACAAACAATTGCAGTATTCGCAGTCACTTCAAATCATCCACACGCATCGACTGATTTGCCATGGCCTATAACTGGTCCACCAGTTGAATTTAATATTCAGTCATCTGAACTACCTAAGTCTGGATTAGTTACATTTTTATGCCGAGAAATCCATCAGTCTGTTTCAAATAATAACTTAGACTATTCCATTCATCCTAGTCTTTCAACAGCTTTATTATTGATCAATATTCATCATCCACCAGAATACACTGGGACTAATCATTATGAATTTGAAAGAAGAATTTTAGTGAAACATTTAAGATTAATAATTTATCATTTATTGCATCCGTTCACAATGAATCGCACTAGTAGTACTACTAATAATAGTAGTATCAATAGAAATGTATCAAGTTCAACTGAAATAAATACAATGAATGATTTTGAATTATGTCTTATTCAGCATACACCAAACATTGGTCATATCATATCACCTATTGATTGGGATAATGGTATATTTTTGCCAGAAGGTTATACAGATAATTGGACTATGGAACAATTGAATAAATTCACTGATGATCATCCACTTGTGATTAATCAATCTCGTCTACTTTGTTTATTAATTCGACCATGTGAACATGCTAAATTTGTATTTCATCCACCAAAAGCAGTAACTGAACCATCATCATCATTAATAAAAGAATTTCAAGAGACTAATTCCACACCTTCTTGTTATCATTTATTAAAAACATTTCAATCATCATTTATATGTGAATTTTTAAAATCTGGTCTATTACATTTTATAGCAAATTCTATTGTTCATTGGCGTATTCCATGTTTATTAAATAATGTACAACAAAAAAGAGAAAATTCTATTTTATCATCATTAGAAACTACTACTACCACTACTACTACTGCTACTACTACTACTAATACCACCACTACTACTACTAATAATAATAATAACAATAATAATAATTGGAATCATTCTATAAGACAATTTCATTCTTATATTACTTTCTATTTTAATAAATTCTCAATAAATATTCCCAATAAATTCTATAATTATAAATTAGATCACTTAATAATTAATAATTATCAATCTATTCCAATAAATAATAATCTTGATAATATTGAAACAATGAACATGATTTTACCAATACATTGTATCATTACTTATATATTATTATTAAGAATAACTAATTATGATTATAATTTATTAAATTTAATTCAATCATCAATGAAAATTATGGAATTAATAATTAAATATCAATTAAATTTAGTTTATCTACCAAGTTATTTAATTCAATTAGCTAATAAATATTCTAATTTATCATTATGGACAGATGATAATCAAAATTTTCATATAAATAATTATCCTACTTATAATTTACAAAGTAGTAATTTAATTCATTCAAATATTTTACCATTCCAATGTTTATGTTATTTATACGATAATAACAATAATGATAATAATAATAATGGTAATGGTCATCAATCTCTATGGGAACTACGTTGGATACATTTAAATTCTGGTGTATTACAGCTTATCTTAAGTTTCATGTATGTTTTATCTCATGGTTCATGTGTAAATTTACCGCAAAGTTTTGATGTGAATGAAGTGAAATCATTTATTCATTCAATTCAGTTAGATTGTAATAATAATGATAATAATAATAATATTGATGAAGATGATTCATTATCGCTAACTATTCAATCAATCAATGAACTTTATATACATTTTATTAAACCAGCTTGTATAGATTTTGAACGTGAATTATTCCCTTCAATCACAGTATCTAATCAAGATAATAATAAAAAGTGTAAACAAAACACAAATTATCAATCATTTCAAACTAATGTCAATTCAATACCTTCATCATCATCTGGATTAATATCAGATAAAATAAATTCTAATTTATGGGCAAAAGGTACAGGTTTTGCTACAACTCCTACAATAAATGAAACATCAATTATAAATGATCATTCAAATCATAATCATAATTTTCAATCTAAATGGATCCGATCAAAAATTCAACGTGAAGATCAATATGCAATTATATTATGTAATACATTAAGTGGATTTTTTTCTACATTTATGCAAAATTTAATTAATACAGATCAATTATTCGAATTAATTATTATTTATTTTATTTATAAATTTAATTTAATTAATTTTATCATTAATTATTTACGTAATGATTCTATCACAGAAATAATTAATCATCATTTATTATATCAATCAATATTTCAATTAATTCGTATTATGATTCTATGTCCTCGATTACATTGGTTATTAACAATGATACAAAATGATTTAAACAATAATAATCTTGTTCATTATAATAATAATTTATATGAATGTTTCATTTTACAATCATTTCATTCATTTCAAACCTATTGGCAAAATATTAATTTGAATGATAACAACGATGATGACGATGGTAACGATGATAGTTTAGTGGAGAATTTAAATTCATCATGTATTATTGTCTTAGTGAAACATATACTATTCTACTTGTCAAAATATAAGGAACAGTTAAAGTAAGTTGAATGGAGTTTTTTTTCTTTAAAAATATTGTATTTAAGTATGAATGAGTTAGCAACAATATAAAACTTCGTACATACGTGCATCAGTTCAAGTTGCCATACCACATTAGCATAGGGATACAATTGTCTATTCAAATCTCATAATGGTAGAGGTAGGTAATTGTTTCTGGTTAGCGGTTTTTTAGCGAGTTCGTTTTCTACGGGATAAGGTCGTTAACCCCATGCCCAACCCTCCACCTTTATCCGGGCTTGGAACTGGCAGTAGTCCCCGGAGGGACTCCAGGCGGAAGTCTCAACACACACAAATGAAAAATCAAGGTTATTTGATACAACACAACATGCACCAATCGAATCTCACTTGACAGAGAAGCTTTGCATATCATCATTGATGAACATGGATGGATCTGATGCAGATGTGAAGGCACGGATCGGTAAAGTAAGATCAACATATTTACAACTAGGGAACATCTGAAACTCAAAGCTACTGTCAACCAACACCAAGGTCAGGATTTTCAATATAAATGTCAAGACAGTTCTACTGTATGGGGCGGAAACCTGGAGAACTACGAAAGCCATCATCCAGAAAATACAGGTGTTTATTAACAGTTGTCTACGTAAAATGCTTCAGATCCGTTGGCCGGACACTATTAGCAACAACGTACTGTGGGAGAGAACAAACCAGATCCCAGCGGAGGAAGAAATCAGGAAGAAGCGCTGGAAGTGGATAGGACACACATTGAGGAAAGCACCCAACTGCGTCACAAGACAAGCCCTCACATGGAATCCTCAAGGCCAAAGGGGGAGAGGAAGACCAAAGAACACATTACGCCAGGAAATGGAAATAGACATGAGAAAGATGAACAAGAATTGGATGGAACTTGAAAAGAAGGCTCAGGACAGAGTGTGTTGGAGAATGCTGGTCTGCGGCCTATGCTCCATTAGGAGTAACAGGCGTAAGTAAGAGGTAGGTAATAAAAGTATAATTAGTAATCGGAAAGATTGGTGTTTGAAGTATCACACCCTAGTTTTTAGAAATCAAGCCGACAGGCCAATTTATTCATGCTACCTCAGGCATATTTTTCACTTTGTTAATTATTCTCTTATCAACATTGATTGTTTTTATGTAAACGTATGTGTGCATTTTTTAATCTTACTCGTCAAATGTTCGTAACTTATTTTTGTTCGACTATAAATATCGATCCACACTTGGTTAAACGAAGTTGGCTCACTCATCATCTTCATTGTGTGTCATTTCGTTTAGTTTCGCTTTACGATCAACGATTGTACGAAATATATGTACTCAGAAATCTATTGTCGTATTTGACTTATTTAATTCCGTTATTTACTAACTCAATGATTATATCTGAGGATTGGTGACATATATGATTCAATAACAGTCATTCGAGCGATCTAACTGGAATCAGATCTCGTGCCACTAAAACCTTTCATCAATAAACAAGAAGAAAGAAAATACTAGACGAATAATATACAAGCTGTATTTCGAAGATTAAACTTTATTCAGAAGAAATAGAAGTGTTTATCAGATTCTAAGATCTTGAAAAAATGTACTGAAATCCGCAATGAATTTAATACTTTCAAAGTATTGCAGATTTTAATGGTACAAATTAAAACAAGATATATAATTGGACGTTATTGTTCTTAGTTAGATTCCCACTAGACTTTAATACACAGTAATATTGGTACACTTATAGGCGAAACATAAACCAGCCAAAGGTAATCTAATTGAATGAATGGTAGTAATGACACGAAATACACATTATCCATGGTAAGTTATGATTATAAGCAGTAAAAAATACATACGTAATGGTATGAGTAATTAGTCAAATCACCCATCAAATCGTATCAATTCAAGGAAGTGATAGAGGTAAAACACAGATTAGGGTTGGTTCAAATCCCCATGACTTTTGCTTTATGTATGACAAGAGGTTAAACCCTGTTACGGAGGTGTGGTATTGCAGATTTGATCATTTGTAAGGATTTGCTTTTATCTGCCATATGATTATCACAGTCAATTTTGTGATAGAACATCTTTATGTCTTTCTGAACTATTCATTCACTTGTTGACTGAATCGCTTTGTAGTATACTTGACGCAAGAGCAGCTGAATCGATAACTTCAGAATAAACTGGCAAAAATGTAGCTCCATATTTGAGTAAAACTTCATGACGGTCTAATTGAAAATAATATTATTCCTAATTCGGTAGTTAACCACTTTTCAAACCTTTCTTGTAATTTTCCGATGAAGTATTCATAGCATTTTTCCTGCATTCTGGGGAGCTTTTGAATAATTATTGTGGTCCCCTACAACCAAATTTTTTCAAAAATGATAGATCCAATAGCTACTAAAGGTCACAGATACTAGAACTGATTGGTGATCAATGTTACGTTTCTCTAGTTCTTTAGCTCTGATTGAATTCTGCCAAGCAACTTGTAACGTGGTTACTAGTTAACCGACGTCTCCTAAACAATGTGAAATGATTGAACTTGATCGACAGAAGATTCTGTTCACTCTAGGTTTTGTGTTGGTTGACGCTCTAGAAATCTGTACCTGGAATCCTAAGGGAATTTATGTTACCTTCGCGAATTCGGACTCATTTCACAGACTGATCTATTTCCAGTGTTACCTGTCGACTGCCTTCAACAACTAACAGCTTTGCACGACGACTGTCCACTTCAAATATCAAGTTTACGTTAATTACACTTTATTTGTAATAACTGTTTCATCATATCATTATTGAGTATTCCTTTCTTTCTAAATTTGCAATCGAAGTGAGACTAAATCATCCTTCTGTTTTTTTTCTTTCTCCATCCACCTCCCTGTCTTCTTTAAATAGCAAATTGGGATTGATAATTGAGTCTTCTGAATCGGAGCAGTCGTCAAAACAAATTACCTCCAAGTCCAACATTGAATTACACCCAACTAGTCCTAATAATACACATATTAGTAGTGGTGGTCTTATTCGCCGTTCATCAATACGATATCGTAATTTTCATAAACAGCACATTAATGAAAATTTACTAAAAAATATACATTTTAAAAGTCAAAACGTGTGTAAATCATCCCAAACATTCAACACTACTGATATTATTAATTCTCATTGTTCAACTTCTAAAACCTATGGTTTATTACAACTGAAATCTGGTTTCTATGATCGGTTTGATGTTAATGACAGTAATACTAATCAAATGAGTAGTGAAGACAAAGATAAACATTATACGTTAATAGAAAGTAATGTTGAGATCAACTGTGGTGATGACAATGATAATCTTAACACTGCTTCTGAAAATGTTCATGATATTCATTCTGAGGTAGAAAGAGAACAGGACGAAAACGGAAATGTTCATTGTGAGGTTATTAAAGATTTAACCGAAAATGCTAATCATTCTCAATCGATTAGTAAAGAGAATAATCTTGTAAATGGTGAATTTCATAGTCATTTTCAAAATGATAATGCTGAAAGTACTAACCATGAATTCAACAGTGATAGCAGTTCAACATATGTAAATCAAGAGATTTTAATCATTTTTAATGAACTAGAAACCACATATAAACTGCTTAAATTAATTTTGAAATATCAACAATCCTCTGTAAATAAATCCTTGATAATGATGAATAAATATCATCATAATGAGGAAGATCAATTTTCTAATGATGATTACAAAACTACTTTACATGAAATACGGTCAGCTGAATATGGTAACAGCAGTGATAGGAATAGTACACTACAGAATCAAACTTCATCAATTAATTCAAAAATGCTTTCAACCAATAATGCTTATTGTACAGCTTTAAAATCTATACATTTTCGTAAGTTCAGTAGTCAATGACACTGTTTTAATTAAATAACTCAATGCTTATTAAATGGGTTTTTTTTGTAATTTAAACACTAAATTAATTATCAGTACTCTGTAAGTTGGCGACTACAAACAAGATTATGTCTTTATACTTTTTGTATGAAGTCTAATGCTATTACCCTGATGAGTAGGTATCTGAAAGCTGAGTTGGCTCTTGATAACGAATATACTGGACTACAGTCCTTTTCGTTCTACTTTATTGTTGTGAGGCATGACATTTCAAAAATAGTAAATATTCACAGGTTACTGGTATTCAACTTTGTCGTTGATGCCTCTTTTGAAGCATTGCTCGTATATCCTTTGACTGTCAAGTCAGCGGTTTTGAGGTTAGACGTAGGGTACTAGATAAAAATGGAAAGTCGATTGATGAGGTAGCTAATCTTTGTTGATTAAGATAATTAGGACGTGTGTTGCGTATGACTAACCACCGATGACGCCGATGGGCAATGTTGTCTGGTATAGAAGTAGGTTAGAAAAAAGCTAGGAGAAGCTGAATCAAGACATGGTACTCGTTTTTTAAGTCACTGACTATTGAACTGAACTATATAGGTAGGTGCCGATTACCGAATAGCGGTTCGTGCGATTATTGTAACCAATTTTCAGACATTTTGGGCGATGTGGCTACAATAAACCAGGGGCATTCACCCTCAGTTTTACTTGAGATTTCGAATTTCCTAATTAACTTATAAATTGTCAAATTCTACGGATCCATATTTTCTTCTTAAATCATATCTTCTAAATTCAAACTTTCCTGCTACTGCTAATACTGTTATTACCTCTACAACTCTGGGATTTACCTTGATAATTTCATCTCGCTATGCTTATTGAATGTGACAACCTGAACTAATGTAAACATGTACCAAACTCTACGTTACGTATGAATGACTGGCTAGAGTACTTACCAAGCTTCTACTCTGGTACTTAAATATCAAACATTCTAACCACTCAGTCAACGCTTCACCATCCTATAAAACCAAACAGTTAACTTGATTGGACTATTTTACGTGATATTTCAACAAAATACTTGGTATAAATTAAATGTAACTTTTTGAACACATTTTACGTCATTAACAACGCAGTCGAACGGCTGCTTAGTTTGGCTCAAAGGTTTAAATCACTACTTCACTTATTTTCTTTCATGTTGTTGTTTAATAGTAGTATCACTTACCCTCACACATAAAAGAGTATTACTCCAAGGCAAAGTACGTAGTTCCATTCCTATTTAAGAGATTATATTAAAATAGTGGTTATAATTTCCATATCTCTTTGATGTTACCATAGCTTTATTAGTCATTACAATTGTCTGGATGAAAGAATAAAATGTGGATAAACATCCTCAACAAGACTTTATCGGCATGATTGTTTCGAAATGATCTATCTACTTTTAATTGTAAGCTTATTCTTTCAGCTCGTTTATTTTTGTTGACTAAAAACAAATGTCAAGTAACTAGGAATGAGTTATTGACCTTATTTTTAGCAAAGTTTCTCAGTAGTAAGTTATAATTTTGTATTTTATTTATATCATCTAAGTTAATAATAAATACAAATAATGACAAGTTGATTACGACTTTTATTCATCTAACGTTATGTTATTTTTATGGAGAATTTGAGTAAATATTCTTTTGCTCCGTCGATCGTACTAAATATAAAAAAATAAAGTTCACTTACGGAAGTTGTAATGATCTCTGCCATCTACTGATCCTAACATTAGATACGCAAGAAAATTGAACTTGTAAATTACCAATATACTAGTTTTGGTCTTGGGGAAGAACTATCCTAGTAATCTATTATCCAGATGGTTATTGTCTGAACAAATAACTATTTCACTGGTTGAAATCATGAGTCAATTTAAGCTAAACCACCATGGAAAACCTGGAAGCACTGGACGGCCATTTGATTATATTGTGGGACTCCTCAGCAGTGCGCATCCGCGATCCCGCACCCCGCAAGATTCCAACCCAGAACCTATCAGTCTTGTGCCAATACTTTCAGGTTTTCCATGGTGGTCGAGCTTCAATTGACTCGTGATTTCTACCAGTAAAATTTCTAAAATCTCCACAAAATCCCTTCTGAAAATAACTATTTTCCAAAAAACAATAAGCAAAGACCATATGATGATAGTAGTACAATTATCTGCATCAGAACGTGTCTCCAGCCCGAAAACGTATATGGTTAAATATGTGAACATTTAGACTACAATCCACTATCATTAAGAAAATGCAGTATGTCAAATTGAAAACAAAACCTTAGCCTGATGAGGCTACGTTTTACGAAAGAACTAATCATATAACTGCTCGTGTATTTTCGTGCGAAATTCATTCATCCTTATGTCTATTAGGCATTTTTAAATTATAGCTGATGCCAGTTCATGATAAAAACCCTAGCCCTAAATACCTAACCTTTACTATGAACAATATGTGAATTCTTAAAAATGTGTTTGGGCTATTTTAAGAGTTCAAAAAGAGGAATAGTCTATATGTTGCTTTTTTCGATTTTCAGGCAAATTAACCTGTTTTTTATTTATTTCAACACAGATATTTGTACAAAGAGGCACCAAATACATATGCGCCACACAAATCTCATTCGATATGTGTGAGGGCTTTGATACTGCCCGGGTGCCCAAACCGAAACAGGTGGTTTTCTTAGGGGGCCACACCCGAAGCCTTCGACCTGAAGGTCTGATCCACAAGGCAGTGGAGCATCGTAAGGAGATGCAGTCCCATGGAAGCCAGTGACCAACAATTGGTTCATACGCCATTTGTTCCCGCAAGATACTGGAGCCCATGTGCACCATTGATTTGGAATCCGGTTAAAGCGCCGGACATTCGCTTTTCGTCCTCTCATTTTCGTAAACAACACCCCGCCACGAAAAGGCAGTGAATAGGACTTCCGTGGCAGAGGCTATATACGCGTGACCATGTGAGAGCATTTGGAGAGGGAGAGCGGACTCTCCCCACTCTCGGCCGTACCAGGGCATTTGGGGGATGTATGTATATAAAATCTGCTTATACTTTTTAATATTATTGTTTACTTTTTGACAAACTGTTTATTAAACCAGTTTTCCGATTGACTAGAAACTAGTTGAAAATTTGTCGAGGTCATTTTAAGCTTAGCCCTATATTATACCATATCTTTACCGAAGATTCTTATGTAGATCGTATTCAACCTTCAGAGTTTTGATTCATGTCTCTTTATTGTTCAGGTTTGTTAGAATGTACCCTGTTCTCTTCCAGTTCTTGTTTTGACTTGAAAAGAGTCAAGTATTGTTTTCAACGTATACCACACGGTAAAAGTATACAATAGTTAGTGATATATGTGATATAACTATATACCTAAATCACGCAAACTATATATGTAGAATCGCCATAACTGTAACGGCAGATTAGAGGGTAGAACGAATTTATCGATCGAACCAAAGACGTGCAAACACGTAGAACGGCCTAGGGTTCTGATTGGTTCCGCTTCCCTGTCTAGCCCAGCCAGTTGAGTCCAGAACACAAGTCTCAGCCTCGGATATCTAAATCATCATATTTCAAACATACTCTGTTTATATACTAATCAACCACACCACATCGTACGATAAAATAGAAAATAACATTGTACAATATTGACCAGTAGGAAAATGACACGTGAAATAAGTACTGACCAATAAGTAAATCATACCATGTCCAAGTCCAAGAATAGCATTAGACTTAATAGAATAATTTCTGGGATATTTTCCTGAATATCCCAGCAAGAATTTTTTATTTTCTTTGCTAAATCTAATGGAAATTTACACATCATTTTTGTTTGTTTAGGTACGATCAAATTTTTTTCACCTTCCGTGAATAATACTGTTTCTTCAATAGTCCCACATGGATATGCGAATTTATGTGCCCAACATGAAGGTTTCATCTTAATTAATAGTTTTAATACAAAAAAATTATTCATTTATTCCGCGTCCACCTCTACCTCTGGACCAAATCCTGATCAACCTCATAAACTGTCAACGGTTACTTCTACCACTACTAGTTCTCAATTGAAAATAACTCCAAAAAATCGATCATTTCATCGGTTACAACGTCTCGCTCAAGAAATTGTAACATTGAATACTAGTTTACCATTGTCCGAAAATGCTAGTGTGTTTATTTGTTGTGAAGAAAATCATTTGTGTTTATTAAAGGTAAATTTTTCCTAACAATGAATCTGAATGACGTTTCGTTTTTTTCTTAAACTATTCATATAAAATGTCATTGATTGTTGATCAATGAAGGTTATGCATTTATATGTTTTTTACACATCATCCATCGATATTATTTCTCAATTAATCAATCACAGACATTATAGAACCTGGCATAAATACGTTGTGGCTTGAAGGTTAACTTACTAGATTTTCAACTAATAAGTCTAAGATTTGAACCTCTTTCCACTAACTTCGATCTTAGTAGCTAGATGGTATCACTAAATTTATTATCTTGACTTAGTGGTCGCATCCTCATTTCGTGATGACCCAGTTGAGCTATACTAGCTGGAAAACATGTTCCTATTTGGTTCTATTTTGCTAAGTAAGTTGGTTAGAGAATGGCAAAACTAGAAGCAACATATTCATGGTCGGAGGGCTATGTTGTGCTGCTGAATATGCAGGAGTATAGTGTCAGACAGGTATTTTCCTCATGCAATCAACATTCCTATCGATGCTGTCTTACCGTAACTTAAGAAAGGTTTTTAAAAATGTCGACCGTAGCAATAGCACACCTTATCTTGCCCCAAGGATTTCCGCCTGCGGCAGTAAAATTTTTACAGTACGGAGCTACTCGCAGTAGGACCGTGTATGAACGATCCCAAGCAGTTGTCCCTCAAATTATGTGGTCACCAGCACCATACTAATCCAGTATCCTTCTCAGGTTCTTCAGGAAGAAATATCTTTTCACAGTACGAGAAATCGGAAAGTGACAACCCTTCACACACCTCTGACGGCACTAGAAATAACTAACTCGTGATACCGATCAGTGATCTCCAGCCATAACACAATTACTTATGTTCACTACTTTTTTGATTTTTCTTTTTAACCAACCGACAACAAAAAACTAGGCACTAATTACTGGACCTCCTGATACTCCATATGCAAATGGATGCTTCGAATTTGACATATACACACCGCCAGATTATCCAAATCAACCGCCTTTAGTTGAATTTTGTACAACAGCGAAAAATACATTCCGTTTTAATCCAAACCTGTATGAAGATGGCAAAGTATGCTTGTCAGTGCTGAATACATGGCATGGATCAAGTGAAGAACGATGGAATCCTCAAACATCAAGTTTATTACAAGTAATTAAATCTCTTCCACACATGTATATTTATGTATTTACTCTTTTAAATAATATTTCTTGTAGTTGCATTGGATATGAGTCATATTCTGATTAATGACGTAAACACACTCATGTAAAATAGATGGAATATGGTCAACAATGGAATTCAGGACGCGCGTTTTATTTATACCTATATCCTAGAGTTGATATTTACTCCGGGACCCTGGTATGCAGTCACATCTAGCTGGCAAGTCCTAAGTAGGATGAAACGCGCTAGCTGGATTCTACTGGCATCCACCATTCATCACTACTTATAAATGCTTATGACACAATAGTGATATTAAGGGAATCCACACAGGATACGTAGATGCTAACAAAGCAGACTAATAAAGTACAGTCTTAAATATCAATAAGAAACTTCAAAAAATCAATAAAAATGAATTAAATTGCACTGGTTATTATTTTTTTTTTTAATTTTTAAGACTTCCAGGTGTAACCCTCAATTTCCTGTTATCAATTGGCATTACTGTTGAAACTGTCACTAAATTAGTTCATTTATTGTAGAGTACTTCTTTTTAATAAGTCATTTCATTATCTGATATTATACAACAAATAATGTATAATTAGCATCGTTGTCTAGAAAATTGTTCTAATCTTGAAAACATTTATATCTTTCTATCAAAGATCATTCGTTTACCTATATATCATATTTATTGTTGAGTTTGTTGTTGACGAATCGCGTTATGTTTTTATTTTCAGTTCTCAATCTAATATATATATATATATATATCCATCATAATTTCATTATTACATTATAGTATTAGAAGAATGCACCATATAAAATGAAAAAAATCGGAAGAAACCGTTTGTAGCATAATCACCACTTACTTACATTCTGAATTTTATCTAATAACGTTTTAAAGCTTCTGAAATAATCACATTATTTGATTATTCCCAAACTAAAATTTATGATAACCTGATCTTTACCAGTTTTATATAACATTTCAACTGACCTTCAGTCACACCTCAGTTACCTACCATATCTAAATAACCTGAACGGTAAATTGATGTAAGTCATCCTACTCTTAGTCGGGTTGAAAAGGCTACAATCAATCTAAAGTGAGGAAGGGCAACAGGGTCTGATGGACTAACCCTTAAAATTTGTAATAATGGTGGTTCAGTTTTAGCAGTTAGGTTAACTAAAATTTTAGCTAACATCTAGGAACTGGACATATTCCCAACTGGTCCGTCTCAATCTCTGATCGTCACAGTTTGTAAGAGAGGATAAAAATCCTCTTGTGACAATCACAGAGGAATCAGTTTAACTAATATTGTGTCTAAAATATTAACCTAAATAATACTTAAGTGAGCTCATGAAGAGCAAACCTGAGAAAACCAGGCTGGTTTCAGACGTAAACATGGATTTATAAATCAAATATCCACCCTTTGGCGGACTCTAGGACGTTTAAATACTTTTCGACGTCCGACTATAGTTATATTCTTTGACCTTAAGGCGGCATTCCACTCTGCTGGTTGTGAGTTTCTGCGCCAGTATCTCATTGGAAGGCGTTTGAAAGAAGTACATTAACTTTTTACAGGTTCTGTCTCAGATATTATTGGTCGAGTCAGAGCTTTTAGAAAACTGTCATCGGAACTGTTTACTTCAATTAGTATTCGTCAGGGTTGTCCGTTTTTACTCATTTTTATTTAATTTTGTTGTAGGGATGCTTGTAGAGATAAAACTTTCATCATCGTTTAACTTTTCAGGTATGAATCTTCTACCAGGAGATTCACTCGTTAACTTAGAATAAGCAATAGACATACCTCTATTTGGTAAAGACGCTGACAAAATCTCAAGTCTCCTGACCACCTTAAGTAATAACGGAAGCATGCTTGTGATGGGGTTCTCTACCTCCAAGTGTAAAACGCTACTTGAGGATTGATCTGGGATATAACCTTTCACCTTGATTTAAACTATTGATTTAGAGTTATTTGGTATAACTACTGTGAATTTTGTTCTCATTATATTCCATTATTTTATTTGACTATCACAATTACTATTATCAGGTATTAGTATCAATTCAGTCGTTAATTTTTGTACGTGAACCGTATTTTAATGAACCGGGTTTCGAGTGTACCATGGGAACACCTAAAGGCATAATTGTCAGTTATAAATATAATGCTCGTATTCGTGTTGCAACTGTTCGTTGGGCTATGATTAATCAATTAAAGCATTTACCAATTGGTTTTGAAGAGGTAAGTAGAATCTTATCATTTTTTGTTAAAGAATTAAAAATTCAATGGTTGTATGTGGTTGAATAGTTGATGCATAGATCAAGCTTAAATTTTGTTAGTTGTTTTTCGTCACAAACTCGGTTGAAATCCACGCGATTGTCGAAAACTATAAATTGGGAATATTCAGCGATTTGACTTATAATCTATGTGATGATGCAGATATATTCACTTACTGTCTTCTCTAGGATATTGAGTTTTCAAGTTAATTCATTCTTTCCTCTTGAATCTTATCGTATATTCGTAAATCTTTTCTACTACCAACAATTCTGTAATTATTTGTTATAATACATCCTATCTGTCACCTTCTTAGTCCGACAGCTCGTAAAAATATGCCAACCACAATCTGGATTTTTTCATCACTTGTATGTCAATCCGCTTACAAGAAAGCTACTTTACTTGGCCAATGAAATGGCTAGGCTAGGGTGGTTAACCTTGAGGATTGACACCGATCTCCATACCTTCTATCCTTGAGTTCGAACAAGAGAACATAGCTGGGAAGCTTCCATTATTATAATTCAATCACGCATGTGTTCATATACATGTATACTGAACCACATCGTATCATAAAATAAAAATCATAATTTATACATTAAAATAAACCAAAGGTGAGAGTGAATAGAGCAAATGAATGCCCACAAATGCCCTGGTACGGACGACAGTGGGGAAAGTCCGCTCTCCCTCTCCAAATGCTCTCACATGGTCACGCGTATATAGCCTCTGCCAGGGAAGTCCTACTCACTGCCTTCTCGTGGCGGGGTGTTGCTTACGAAATTGAGAGAACGAAAAGCGAATGTCCGGCGCTTTAACAAGATTCCAAATTAATGGTACACATGGGTTCCAGTATCCTGAAGGAACAAATGGCGTATGAGCCAATCGTTGGTCACTGGCTACCGTGGGACTGCATCTCCTTATGTTGCTCCACTACCTTGTGGGTCAGACCTTTTGGTCTAAGGTTCCCCTAAGAAAACCACCTGCTTCGGTTTGGGCACACGGAAAGTATCACAGCTCTCACACATATCAAATGAGATTTGTGTGGCGCATATATATTTGGTGCCTCCTTGTGCCAATATCTATGTGTTAAAATAAATAAATAAATTATAAATAACCGGCTAACAATAATTTAAGAATAATAAAATGTATAACACTATTTAACAGATCAAATAACAACTCACAATAAAGTTGAATATCGAAATATAATATTACAGTTATTTAATAATTATAGAATTATTTCATAAAATAGTCTCGAATGTCACCAGTTTCTTAGTATTCTTTCTGTTACAGAAACTTCTTCCACTCTGTAATTCGTCTCGATAATATCTATCTTTCCATATTAATATGGTGTAACAACATATATGTTTTAGGTTTCATATTACTTATAACTGGTTGTAGTAGTCGATTTTATATGAAGATAGTAAATACTTACTGTTAAAGAGTTCTCAATTAAAATAAAACGGATGTTCATTCCACTCCTTTCTTTTCAATCAAGTTCCCTACAACTATTGTTGTGAACAGAACACGGATGGGGACAATCAAATATGCTTAACACAACATTACAGGACTTGTTATTAAAATCTAACAACCATAAAGTCAATGCTTAATTTACAAAATGTCCACCAATTGTCTCAAAATCACTGACTTCATTGTTCTCGCATTTTCATACAAATTACATTCTCTTTCCATTCTTTACTGTTCGATCATCTTGTCTCTCTGCTGCCAAACCTTCTGTTCACGACTAATATCATATACTACTTATGTGAATATAAGTAGCACACACTACACTATCACTTATTCTCTTAATGATGGTCCTGATGCGCGCTGCTGAGGAGTCCCATACTAGGACGAACGGGCCGTCCAGTGCTTCCAGGTTTTCAATAGTGGTCTAGCTTTAAGTGACTCATAATTTCAATCTGTGAAATATAATTATTGATTTTGTAGGTTTTTCCTCTACTTGACCCTCTCATTCAACGGTTTCGGGAATTTTATAGTGTTAAATACTTTTTTTGTTTACTTAATTGTTAGTGTCTCACTGTTCAATTTTTTTAAAACACTTTCAATAGATAATACAACTATATATTCAATAATGGTAAACGTGGTCGATTTAATAAATTTCATGTTTACCAGGTATCTTCTATTTGTTTTCTATGATTAACTGGCAGTCATGTTTGGGGAATATTTATTCATGAAATTTGTAAAGTTGTATTACAATTGTTTTTCGATTCAAATCGCCATAATAAATAGACGTTACATTAAAAAAATATATTGAAACAGTCTGTTATCAAGACATTTTATGTTGTCTGCTCACACCTGTTACACCTCGTCGAGGAGCATTGGTCACCCACTAGCATTCTTCATACAACTATGTTCTACACAATCCTTTCCACTTGCTTCCAGTTGCTATTCATCCTTTTGATTTTGTTTGCTTTGAGTTATTGACACGGTGTGTTCTTTGGTCTTCCTCTTTTCCATTTCGCTTCATAATTTCAAGTTAACTCTTGATTCGTAATTCTGTTTGATGATTTCCGTAATGTATGTAAAGTAGAACTGTCTTGACGTTTGCATTGAAGATTCTGACTTTGATTTTGGTTGACATTTGTTTTGAGTTCCTCGATTTGTCAATCCTTACATCTACGTCTGAATCAGATCGTCCTTGTTAATCGATGATGCTTCCCAGGTACCTGAAGGTTTGAACCTCTTCCAGAGCTTCTCCATCAACTGTTTCCTACTAGTAACGATCAATTACTTTAGCCATCATCAGGGAAATCACTTACATAATTTAATTTCTGTACACTCATTGTATGTAACATTAATGTTTATTGGATTTACTTCTTTTTTCATCCTGTAGGTAGTTTTAAAACATTTTCTAAATCGACGTTCATTTATTATTTCCCAAGTTGAACAATGGATATTTGAAATGCGTAATCATGCACAATTTAAGAGCGTAGAAATCTATGTCAAAGAGCTTGAAGTGAGTTAATAACTTGATCATTATTTGTCTTAAATTAGAATGAATACTTCATCACTTACATTCTTTATTGTTTTGGTGTTGTCTTTTTCTCTTCTTGAAAAAAAAAATGTGAAATTCATTATATATGGTCAATAAATTTGATCTATAGGAAGTTATTTCGGTTTTGCATTAGCCCATGACTATTAGTAAATTCCCAGTAAAAGGAATATGAAACTTAGATAACTGTTCTTTCGTCAAATTTCAGTGAACCTTTTTCGATCAGTTATTTTAGGTTGCTTTTCTGGCTAGCTATTAGATTCAGGACACACGTTTATTCCTATTTGGAACTCGTCAACTGGATATACCTGGTCTCTGGAATCAGTAGCTAAATGAATAATGTGTTAAAGGTTTGAAGTAAAATGCACTATGTTCGATTCCTGGCTCGAAGGTCAGCACTGGTATCCAGGTACATCCAGTTGATAAGTCACAAATAAAACAAAGCACTCGTCTTGAATTCTATTGCTATCCACGTTCAAAACTTAGCTTAAAAATGCCTTTGACTTAATAGTTATATTGAAACAATCCGATGAGAATGCGAATTCACCAAAAGATATTGGTGAAAATTCAGTCCTTAACATCAAAGACTGTAAAATTCGAACCCTTAAAAATCACTGAACGCAAAATCTGTATAAACAAAAGTATTCCGCAACAGAAGTAAAGAAATCTGTTAAGCTTTGGTGGTTTCAAGAAATTTATTGATTTTCCATGTCATACTACCGGCCCTGTGCTTCCACAAGTGGGAAGCAGGCATAAGTAATAATTTCTTGATGTGGGTAAATTATCATGACTAGATATGTAATTTATCAGGAATATTTTGCAATTGTTTCAAAAAACTAAGTAAAGTGTTCTCCTCACTGCTGATACTGTGGTGTGTGTTATTTATATTGACATAAGTAGTATATAACGCTAGTCAGGAATAGAATGTCTAGCAGCAGAAGATCGAGAAGGAAAGAACGAGAACAGTAAGCAACTTGTATGGAAATGATGGAACAGTGAAGTTTCAGACGATTGATTGACATGTTGCAAATGAATTATCTATTGTACGATTCTTAGGTTTTACTACGATGTTCTATAATTTTGTGTTCAAATACATTCGATTGTCCTCATTTATATTCTCGTTCACTACAATACCATAACTTGTTCAGTAATAATAAACAGTTATTTTATTTAATATAACTATATAGCGTGTAATGTGCAATATTTAACGATTTTTTTTTGGTTCATACAAAGGATTCTTTATCCATCTTGAAAACGGAACTTAATCGTCTAGAAGAACGTCTTGCTGATTGGAATGAAAAACATAGTCAAATGTAATTTATCTCAATGAAAAGGTAATACGAGAGTATTTATATGTATAAATTATATATATATATATATATATATATATATATTTGAAATACAATAATGATGATTACTAACTTGTTTATTATTTCTTACTTTCCAATCTTTATTGTACACATTGATTCTTGTAAATTAGCTTACACTTTTTCTTTTCTTTTAATGTATGTAAATCATGCACACAAAGATGAGTAACTATAAGCAAACAATTATCTTTCAATGTTTAACATTATTATTATTGATGGTAGTAGTAGTAGTAGTACTAGTAGTATGAAGATATCTATTTTCTAAACGGCTTTTTTTAAAAAAAAACTTTGATTCATTTATTAATTTTGCCTAATATTCAATCCTGTTGGTGAAATGTATATCTAGTGTGATGTTTTGTCTTTTAATTTTGTGCATCTTTAATTTCTTCACAAGTTATTTATATTCTCATTTGATTATTTTATGAAAATGAGAAATTTACTGTTTATGTAGGTATGTTTACAATTGTATAACAGTTATGTATTTGGTTTTACTGTTATACTTTATTTTCTTGAAAGGATTCTACGATCAGTAGTTGAGATAAATTAAATGTTTTTTTCACTGGTGTAAGCTTTTCTCTATGGGATCAGTCTTATTTAAGTAGATGGTGAGGAGAATCCACTTTCCCTCTCGAAATGTTCTTACATAGCTACGCGTATACAGTCACTGCCTTCTCGTGATGGAGGTGGTGTTTACGAAATTAAGAGGTTGAAAAACCAATCTCGGGTGCTTTTACCGGATCAATGGATACGGAGAATCCACCTAGAAGAGTTGGGAAACACTGCTTCCAGATGAATGGTGCACATGGGCTCTAGGTTCCTAAAAGAACCAATCGCTACCAACCGGCTATCATGGAACTGCATCTCCTGACGTTGTTTGACTGTCTTGTGGATCAGACTTCTAGGTCGAAGGCCCCAGGTGTGGCCTCGTAAGGGTACCTGGACAGCACCACAGCCCACATACAAATCAAGTGCCTTGTGTAGCGCATATGTATTCGGTACCCCTTTGTACCAATATTTATGTGTTCAAATAAATAAGATGCTTTAAGTGTTGGTGACAATAAATTACAACCAATGAGTATAAGTTACGGTTATTTTACTTTCTACTTCCGTAGGGGAGTATTTTTGAATACAAATACTGAACAATTTAGTGTGATTAATTTTAAAGGTACCAGATATTTAATCTGTTGTAGAGATCCTGGATATATTAGTCATATATCAGTAATACATCGTTAAAATGTCAGGGTTACAGTTCTTATTTTTAATTTGTGGTAGCTGAAATACGATTCGGACCAAATTTTATGCTATGCCTTGTTAAAGATACCGTCAAGTACGAAATTCCAGTCGATTATCTTCAATAATTTGCGTAGACCATAGCCTCGGAAGAAAGTTAAAAGTTGTTTACTGTGTGAGCTTCTGTGGTCTCATTAGCATCTTTTCGAACTGTTTCAAGGTGGGATGTATGGCCATCCTTGAGCCTTAGTGTTCCTTGCGACCTACCATTGGAGCCTTTGGGATGAAACGAGTCTTGATATTATCTTGAATTTTCAGTCTGAGTGGTTCTGAACGTTTTATATAAAGGTTTACCTGCAGTCCGATGAGTTTTGCTAGTGTTCTGCAATCAGGTAACTAAATTAAACCACCTATGTGATCATATCACAAACATTTCAAACATAGTTTTCAGGGATTTATTGTTCACTGCCTCAGCTCCAAAATGCTCGATTTGGAATTCGCGAAACTGAATAGATTTCTCAGGCGTTATCCTTAGAATGTTTCATCATGTTGTTCATGTGACTCTAGATACATGTCTAAATAAAGAGACTTACTGAAGGCTTGCCTGTCTCCATACGCTTCCGACTTTATGTGAAGACTGAATCAGGATTCTTTGTTTTTATTTATTGTGGTTATTTTTTCCCAAGTATAAAATGGGACTGATGGTTGCTTACTGATAGCACAAAAGGGAAGAATAATTTGAAGAAATCTACCATTGACATTAAAAAATAAACAAGATCGATCAAACTATCATATTCCTTTGGTAAAAAAAGATGCAACTGCGAAGCTATGAAAATTAGAAGTATTTGAATTATGTACGAACTGAGAATTCCTAAAATGCTGCAATTTATGGCAAATAGAACTAGATGAGCATGTATTTGAAATTCTAAATCCGGCGGAAATCAGGTATAAAAGAATCATCAGTTTATACAAACACCAAAACTTAAATTAGAATGCAGGTTTCTGTAATCGATTAAATGTTTTCTCAGTAGGTTCTATGCATGTCTGTCAGACCGTGTATTGAATGAGGACTCCGTATGATCTAGGCTATACTCATTAGGATTAACAAGTGAGATTGGGACATCATCACCTGGCTCCTGGAATTCTCTATGAACGCATGTGGTTTTTGTACTGTAATCACTGATATCTAGAATTTGAACCGTAGATTTTCCAGCACTATCCTCCTCTACAAAATATTGTAGGGTCATTATGTCACAATTTGCATTATCTTCTCATATCATACACTTTGATAATAGTATGTGGGTATTTGGAGATACACATCATCATATAATGTGGAGCATTCCATCATGTGACTTTGACCTGGACCGCAAATATGTTACATATTTCTTTTGCTTTTCACGATAGATCACACTGTTCCAGTTATTGGATAAGTTTGTATTGATATGTGTAATTAACATCGGTGATTCATATAGGCTTAATTCACCTACAACACTCAAATGGGAATTATGCATCTGTCTCATGCCTATCAAGATAATCTCGATTTGGATTTTCTCGCTGTTCAAACTTCATTTCTGGTAAAACTGGTTCTCTGACAGCTTCGGGAAAGCTTGCTATCCCCTCTGATTCATCATACCACTGACTGTGAATCCTACTCGACATAGATTGGTTGTGATAATATTTACCATCTGATACAATAACATCAGAAATCTGACTAGAATTAGACTCATTCAGAACACATTTGTCACATTCATAAGGAACATCACTAGAGATAAGTCCATTGTGATGGCGAATAACACCTGTTGCGACACCATAAGGACTGTAATCAAAATCTCAACTCATTTAGAACTTATTCCTCACATTTAACTGAGATTTCACTAGAAATAAATGGATCATTGGGACAAACGGCATCTGATAAAATAACGTCAGAATTCCGATTTGATGCACTCTGTTAATGTTCGTCATATAATTTCATTAGGTATACATCAACCATGAGAACAACGTATATATGGTAAAATAATATGAATCTGATCAGAGTATGATTCATTTGAAGTACTCAACTTCATAGAATTGGAATTACAAAAGTTAGCAGTGCTTGCAACGAAATGAATAGTAGTATTACAAACTTATTGAATGTGTTCACATTTAGCATTAGGAAATACAAATGAATTTCATAAGTGAAATTCGCCACAGAACAAACATTTACCAAACTTGTACTCACCTCCATGACCTGCAGAACTAACGAAACAAAATTTATTCTAGTAGACCAGATTACGTTCTTCTGTATAGTGTACGGAACATAAACTCTGTGCTCAATTTAAAAAAGAGAAATTGCTCCAAAGATACTTTAAACGGTACAGTCTGTGTTATGTAGTCAAGGGCTTCTCTAACACAAAAAATAGCGTGCTAACCAACGAGAGTTAAATATCTGAGAATCAGTAAAAATATCCTCAACAAGATGGAAGCAGATATCCATCTGCAGGGATTCCAGCAATCATTCCAACAGGCAGTCGAATGTTAATAGCTATATACTAAACCATGCCGTCACTCTGAGCTTAGTTAAACACGGCCTTATTGTCAATAGTCCGTCTACATGCAACAGAAAAGTTAGGTAACGAAAAAGTACGTTTTTATTCAACATCATATAGTTAAAGCTCAGACGAGGTATACTGAAGAACACAAAATGTAATTGAAAGTGATCTGAATAAAGGTCGAAGCACATGACAAGGAGAAGAAACAAATAAATGACAGTGCTGTGATGTCATTTCAGCGTTTTCGTCCCGTAACATTTATGGGTCTTGTAAGATTGAATTAATCAAAATCGAAGAATCTTCAATTAACCTAACACTGTTTGCTGATGATAACTCGAACGAGTAAATGGACGCTTTTTTGGCAAAATTATTGTGAGGTGTTAAACTTAGATACAGTAGATGTGGATCGTAACAATCTGCTTTTCTCTTTAATAATGTAAACGTACGGAGGAAGAAATACGATTCACATTAACTATTGACTGGTGAAGCTTCCTATCACTTTATCTTTCATAAAATACATCTGCTCTTAACCATGTCAGCTAGATAATGAACCTTGTTATAATGGTTACATTGAATATTTTGATAGAGCATGTTGAACGGCTTTTATCTATTGATTGTTTGTGCATGATATTGGTGTTCCAAGTTCTACATGTTTAGAAGTATCATTTATTAGGAACGAAGCAGAGTTGTGTGCTAAAATGTGTGTAGTGTGATTTTTAGATTAACATGATGTGGCTTAATTAGATTTTTCTTTTTGAGGGTCCATGTAACGTAACGAAAACATCTATGATCAGCATACACCTGTCATATTGAATTTGATATATCATTACTCGTGTCCGAGTCACTTCCTGTGAAATAAATTAGAAGCTAATGAAATCAAACGAGGATGATTGAATAATTGAAGCCAGATCACCATGGAAAACCTGAAGTTCTGGTGAGATACCGTGACCAGTGGAGTTCAAACGGGACTGTTGTGAGATAGTAGCTCATTGAAGACAGTGGCGCGATTCCGAAGATTAGTTGAAGCTTGACATTGAACTGCTGGATGCCGGCTCAAGGGTTTTGAAGTCAGGCGTTCGGTCGCGAAAACGACAGTACTCGATTCGAGTCGCACATGCCGGTTCGTGGTCGTGCACCACGAAGGACTCTAATAGCAAGACGAAACAGCCGTCCAGTGCCGCCAGGTTTTCAACGGTGGTCTAGCTTTATTCGATCCATGGAGTCAACTAATAAAATTACTACAATCTCTGGAAAAGCCCTTTCTGAAAATAATTTAGTAGAAAGTTCTATTTAGGCATTAAATAGCGCTATCACAGAGTATAAACTTTGAGCCCAGAAGTTGTCAAACAAGAAGTGTTCCGTTTACCTATCAACTCATAACACATTGCAGGTACTTAAAACCTTCAGACAGTAGTATTTCATGCAAAATTTCATAGCTGGCATCGATAAGTAATACGTACGATGATATTTCAGCATCTCATGAGAACTGTGAAAAATTCCCAAATAGCAGTTTGAAGCCAAGTGATTTTATTTAGAAGCACTCTACAAATACCTAACCGAGACGGCATCTTTTTATCTCTAACAAGTCAGACTGAACAAATGGAAAATACATATATTGGAAAGTTTTGCGTTCCATGCGAACCATGCAAAACATAAATGTTCATCTGAGTATACACGACGTTCAGTATAAAACATTTTAATTTTAAAGAAGTTTTCTAACCAAAAATCTTTCCGTTAAAATAAGGCATGAATGCCGAGTGTTTTTGATCTGGTTTGCCGAAACAATAACACCAAGTAAGACGAGT